CAACCAACTCCTCTATCGGATTTCTAAGCCAGCCATTGGGCAGGATCGCAGTTGCGCCCGTTTCACCGCATTCGACGGCCAATGAAGCCTGGCTATTCTCTTTCTCAACTCCTCTCAAGACAAACAACACCCGCAATTTTGGCAACTTCGTCCGCTCTAGAATGACGATGGCTTAATGGTTTCACTGCACCTCGGGAAGTTCCGCAGACGGTGGGCCATAATACAGATACCTAGTACGGGGAAACTCCAACTCCGGTTTTTGCATGCCATCAGTTGTTATGGTTGCGCATCGAGAGGTTTCGACGGTTTTCGCATGACGTGTTTGACATGTCAATTTGCAACAGTCGAGCGCATCATGGCGATAATAGCAAAGAGGCTCGGCTCGAACAGCCGACTGTGGATCGCATGAAGCTGCTCCTCAAGGATGCAACTTACAAATCCGATTGGAAATGGGGCCTACCTTTTTGTTGGCGTCACTGTCCAAAGGTGGAACTGCAGTTTCTGGCCAGGATGTGCGAGTCGAAGAAACTCAAGGAAAGGCCACGAACTACATATATCGGGCCACGATCCCCAGTTTTCTCTCCTGGGTCCATCTTGCCAAACAACTTGAAGCAGCTCTATATTAATACCTCTTCTTGAACTCAACACCTTGTCGAGTCTCTTTCTCGAGTCTTGTCCAAGAATTTCGTTCGTTGCTGGTAAACAGACGAAAACATTGCGAGCTATCTCCGTCACATCCCCGGATTTTCGCACCAACAAACTTCACATCACATCACAATGGGCTCCGTCTCAGTACCCCAGACCGTCAAGCAGTGGAACGTCGTTTCTCACAACGGCTTCGATGGCCTCAAGTTCTCCGAGCAGCCTCTACCCGAGCTTGGTGACGGCCAGGTTCTGGTGAAGAGTGAGTATATCCTAAAAAAGATGTCATGACAATTACATATTCCAGTGCTAACACGGATATTGCAGTCGAGGGCGCATCTCTCAACGTTAGTTAATCAGCAATCAGTTTGCTATGCTCTTAGGACTCAGTTACTGACTTGGACGTGGACAGTACCGTGATCTCATCATTGCCAGGGGCGAATACCCCTTTCCCATGGCCCCCAACGTCGTCCCCGGATCTGATGGCGCCGGAACCGTCGTCGCCGTCGGCAAGCACGTCACCCGCTTCAAGCCCGGCGACAAGGTCATCACGCTCTTCAACCAGGGCCACCTGGGCGGAAAGCTCAACGCCCAGACCGTCGCGACGGGCACCGGCGGCGTGCTCGATGGCACGTTCCGCACCTACGGCGCCTTCAACGAGGAGGCCCTGGTGCGCAGCCCGGCCCACCTGAACGCCGTCGAGGCCTCGACCCTCACCTGCGCCGGCCTGACGGCCTGGAACGCCCTCTTCGGCTCCGCCGACCACGTCGTCCGCGCCGGCCACTGGGTGCTCGTCCAGGGCACCGGCGGCGTCAGCATCTTTGCGCTGCAGTTCGCAAAGGCCGTCGGCGCAAAGGTCATTGCCACCACGGGCTCCCCGGACAAGGTGCCGCTACTCAAGAAGCTCGGCGCGGACCACGTCCTCAACTACAAGGAAAACCCCAACTGGGGCAAGACGGCCAAGGAGCTGACGGGCGGCCGCGGCGTGGACCACGTGGTGCAGGTCGCCGGCGGCAAGGAGATGGAGCAGAGCATCGCGGCGGTCAAGATGGACGGCATCATCGACATCATCGGCTTCGTGGGCGGGTCGGCGGACAAGGAGCCCACCTTCCTGCAGTGCCTGAGCAACCTGTTCACGGCGAGGGGCATCCTCGTGGGCAGCAGGACGCAGATGGAGGAGATGATTGAGGCGATTGAGGCGCACCCCGAGGCGCTGCGGCCGGTGGTGGACGACAAGGTGTTTAAGCTGGAGGAGCTGAAGGAGGCGTACGAGTACCAGTGGTCGGGCAAGCACTTTTCCAAGGTTGGCGTCAAGATTGAGTAAGATGATAGTCCTAGGCCAATAGGAGATTTTGAACGTCAAATGAACTTGTATAGTCTGTTGAGGCGAGAATCACACGGTCTAGATTGTCGTGTCGAATATGTTGTGAACAGGTTGCGCCGCTGTCTGGAGGCGACGAACGTGAAGAGCTCTTCATTGTAGTGTATCGCCACTTTGCCAGTTGTAAGACGTCAAGAGATGCCATGTCTCCTCCGTTCGAGCGTTTTCTAATGCTGGAACACGGGCACGATGAACAGCCAGCTCCTCGAACAGAATCTTGCCCATCACACCCCAGCCAAAGCCACCCACCGTTCAACCTCATCAACAACAACAACACACCCATCCAACACAACGTCATCTGACCACTCCCAAGCGCAGCAGTTGCATAAGCCGCTTTACACGACATATTCGAATTTCCTGCTGGCATCACAACTAGCAAAACACACACACGACTAGTTGTTTTCGCCGCTTCCTCGAGTGTCTTCTTCACCGAGGCTTCGAGTGTTGTGTTGGGGGCGTACAGCATAAGGCAGATGGGAGGGACACGGGCATGTCATGATCAGCACAACTTTTTTTTATATCTTGTTTGTGCACCGATGCCGGACTATCGGGTCTTTCGTTTGTGAGGGCGCGGTCACGGCAGGTCATCATCTAGCTTTTTTTGCAAGTATGAAAGAGACACAGGGAGAAGATGGTTGTGTTGCAAATGACGCGGATTTCTTGCCTCGCTGGCGCTGTTGTTGCTATTCTCATTAACTACCACCACCGTATATGAATTACCTCCACCACTACCCATTCGTAATGTTGTATGTTGTATGTATACATGTAATGCATCATCATAAAAATAAAAAGGACCGTTGTCATAAAAAATCAAGCCAATTGCCTCGCCTCGCCAGTTAAAATCACCCCGGAAAATGCCCCGTTTCTCCAAATGCCGATGCTCCCTTCGTAAATGCGTTGCGCGCGTTGCGTGTGTCGTGTCGATGCGATTCAAAGCAGAATGCGTTCTCCGGAATTCAGTCCAGTTAAACCCTGATCCCACAGAAAAAAAAAACTCCACCATGTAAGGAATGAAAAGTGATAGAAAAAATTGGTGAAAGAGTTGCGGTGAAGCAGTCAAGATGGATTCAAGAGGAAGAAAAAAAGGGGGTGAAGATGGAGCCCTCTTTTTTTGATCCTCTAGTCCTTGTAGTCGCACTTCATGCTCCAGGCTTTCCAGCCGTCGGCGCTGTTGAAGCATTGGCTCGTGGCGAGCGTCGTTTCGCCGGCGGTGCACTTGTCGTCGGTATAAGCCGTGACTTAATATCAATTCACAGGTTAGCCATAATAATCCGGATAGATTGTATAGGGAAAAGAAGAGGTCCTCTTACAGGTGCAGCCCTTGTTAATGTCCGTCAGGCTCAGCGACAGCGGCTCCTCGCCATTGAGGCCCTTGCACTCGCCGTTGGTGAAGTCGTCGTCGATGACGGTCCAGACGCCGAGGTTGCCGTCGAGGCAGCCCTCGGCGCTGTAGAGGCGGAAGTCGGCGACGTGGGCGTTGCGGGGGAGGAAGAGGGCGCTGGAGGAGGTGACGAGGGCGCTGGCGGCGGCGAGGAGCGTGAGGAATTGCATCTTGGGCGGTTTTTAGGATGAGTTTTGTTTGAAAGAAGAGGATGAAGAGCTGGTGATGGAAGTTGAAGGGGGGAGATGGAAGAAATAGTTGAATGGCAGTTGAAGATGGTCGTAGCTGATGTGTTGCTTGATGATGAGTCTTGGTTTGCCAGATGAAGATCCAAACGCAATGGCTTCTCAGCTCTCCTCTTTATACTTTCTTCAAGACCCATCAAAAAGTCACAAGCCCGATTTGATCATGACGAAAAGGCAATTCGATTCACCAGGAAAACCGAACACAGCATGACTACCTCCAGTAGGGGTGGGATACGAAACAGTGCACCGCGGCATGCCGAAGATACATAGTGCAAGTGGAGAGGCGCAGAAAGGCATTGAGCAAGCTGCAGTGTTCCTCCCGGATACGAATCGCCGTCTTGTCTTGTCTTGTCTTGTCTTGCTTGCTCGTGGCCCTTTTTCAGCTCCAACAGCCGCACTGTACCGGCCCATCATGCAAGTAACTCTTTTCTCTATATATGATTCTACACTTCACAACTATGAATAAGAGATATGGATACATGGATGTAAGGGCAGCCACAGTGCGCAGACAAGACGCCTGTCCCGCGTGACCGCCCCCCAGCTTCACCTCCCTTCGACTCCAAGGTCTGATAGATAGAGTTCGAGTCCAAAAACAGCTCCGCCGATCATTCAGTTCTCCAGCTTTTCTTGTCCAATGATGGATGCCTGCTGCAAAGGCCCCCCCCAGTTACTAAAAGCAGGGTAAAGACCAGGGTGAAATGCACGAGGTTGGTTGCGAAGCGAGGCTCTGGCTTGTCTGGCTCTCTCTCTCTGTCATCTTCTCTTACACACAGCTCCACCAGACATGCACCCGGACCCTCGCCCTCTTGGCTGGCAGTGCCGCCATAACCCTCTCTCTTCGTGTATGTATCAAGATGGAGACTTCTGCATCGCCGTGCTGTGATGTCGTAGCTTGTAAATCGAACACCGGACACGCCTCGGTGGCGATTTCGAATACGATCGAGGGGTTGCATCTTCTTTCCATCAAAGTCCCGTTGCTCCAGAAGGCGGTGCTTTCTATTTTTTCTTTGCTTTTCTTCTACGGGTGCTTGATGCGAGGGATGGCCCCTCCTGATGTCATTCCGTGTGGATCGCGGGCTTGACATCACCGACTTTGTTCGGTCTGAGTGTGAGAGTGTGAGACATGACATGCGGTTTGCTGATCCCGGGTATTACGGGGCCTTGGAATACATAGCCTATGCAACAGTCGAGCATAATAATAATTCGCGTGTTCCAACTCCAAGGGAGTACATAATAGCCTATGTGCTGGAAGAAATACGAACGGGCTGTGATAAAGATGCAGAAAGAAAGAAGACGAAGACAATCATAACCTTGGCTCTTGATTATGGTCGGCATTCCCGCCGCCACCGCGAGATGCCGTGTCACCACCACCGGCACAGCCCATCCAGCAAAGCAATCACGGTGCCGCCAGGCAACTTCTCTATTTATGCATGTCCTACATGCATGTAAAATGGCCATAATGAAAAACAAACATACCCTCAAGACAGGCTTGTACACCGCACCACATGGCCAGTGTTCAAAGTCCCTACTCGTACATGCAGTACCAACTACTACACGGCACTTATAACATACTCGTACTACCTGGTAGTACAGTAATACCCGTACAGTAGATAAATCCACAGCCCACAAGCCCACAGACCCCCCCAATTGCATGTGCCAAGAGGACGCACTTGGAGCATTTCGCACTTACGTTACCATGGTGAAGCCGACAGGGACGCGTACTCGTACACCAAAGGACATCTCGGACAGGAGATATCGGGGTCCGACAAAGGCTTGCGTGGACCGCATGATCTGCTCTCCGGACCACATTTGCACACCTCGGTGTGGAAAGCCAAGGTGTAGGTGTAAGACAGGATTACGGCGTAGGCGTATTCTTCTTCTACATACGCAGACTCGTACAAAAAGCATGGACCGACCAACGTGGGCTGACTGTCTAAATATAGGCAGTGCCGCGGAGCCCTGTTTAGCTGGCCGTGCAGACGTCATGGGATGGGGACTGATGCAAATGTGGAACTGACTGCTGCCCGTTACGTGGTTGAAGGACAGAAGGGGGCTTGATGAATGTTCGGAGAATTAGGCTGAAGGAATCTTGGACTATGGTGTGTGCTTAGCTGGTGATGCTGTGCGGGTAGCTTGAGGACGTTGACGCCTCGCTTGGTCTCGGCTCGGGGTGGTTGTGTGCCTCTTTTGAATTGAGTTTCGGAGAGTAAACCGTGAGTGGCTTGCCTGGAGCTGTCAGGTGCTTGGATCGAGTGGAGTGTCGTCTCTTTTGCTTATAGCTTTCTCTAATTGATCGTTGATGACATTTGTATGAAGTGCATTATTGTATTCGCTATAGTAACGTCAGTCTCCCGAGCATATATAAGAACCCTGAATCGAAGCCAAAGACTTCAATTGACTCCTATATTGCTTGCTGCTACTGAGGCATTCCATCGACCGTGGTTTCACTACGCATGCAAACATGAGTTCAAACCCTCACGATGCTCTCCAGTTGAGCAGATAGGTGGCTCTTTCTTGCATTTGGCTGGTTGAGAATTGCTCCTTTGGCCAATTTTCCCCCCTCAAAGGAACATTATCTGTTCAAAGTTTAGTGTGCTTTATACGATATGAAACACAACGGTTGGTCTGTTCATGTTCCTTAGAAGCGTGTGGACTGTCGAGCATGTTCAAGTTCTCACCTCAGTTAAGAGGTTCATCGAGAGAAAGGATGCAACAAGTGAACTCAGTCAGCTGAAGACTCAACAGTGATGAACAGCGAGAGCGTTCATATCCTTCGTCATGTCAAGCGCAAGTAATTGCTGCGTATAAGTTCGACGAAGATGGCCGATGTCTTCCATTCAATCAGCAACGCAAACCTTCGCAACAACATTCCAATCCCCATACCTCAGCCCTGCCAAGCGCCTCCCAGCCCTACCAAATCCTCATTCAAGATGCCTTACGCAACTCTCCCCTACCCCGTCTCCCGCAGCCCCAGCCCAGCCCGCTCCCACTCCGACATCTCAGACCTCGCACTCCCCAGCCCGCTCATCCCCGTCGACCCTCGCCCCTTCCAGGACGTGCAGCTAATCGGCCTCAGACACAGCGCCTACGCCTCTTACGTCCCCCGCTCCGGCCCCAGCTCCCCGCTCTTCTACCCCGAAGACCACCCCCATGGTCCTCCCACCCCGGCGCACGACTGCTTTGGCGACAGGGACTACCCTCCCCGGTCACTGCTCCTCGCCGAGTCCCTCCCGGAGACGCTCCACACGGCTCTCAGCATCGACATCGCAGACGAGCTCGGCATCGTCGTCGTCCTGCCCCCGACCTTCTCCCGGCCGCCGCAGTGGGAGACGACGCCCTACGCGCCGGAGCCGGACCCGTCGCCAGAGGGAGGCGTCATCGAGTTGCTTGCGTACGGACCGCATGCCGGCGTGAACCCGAGGTATCTTTCGGACGCGGCGTTTATGATTGAGATTCGTGATGAGGAGAGGCTGAGGGAGAACATTGGGGAGGGACTGACGTTTCGCTCGTTGAGGCATATGCTTGAGGCGTATTACGAGCTTCTATACGGGTCGAGTTGATCTGTTTCCTTTGGATGACGGCCTTTTCGTATCGCTAGCAGATGTTTGTTCGTGCAGGTTTTGTCTTTTGAGGGAGCCATAGACGCATTCATAGATTCAGAGAAGAATACCCCAGTGCCATGGTTCACCACACAAAAGTTATATAAACGTATTCCATCTCTTACAACTTCATCTTCTTCCTTATAACCACATCTGTTATCCTCGCATTCTCATCTTCTCGTCCCTCGTCTGTCATTCACCACCCCCTCCTACCCCCTCGCACCAGCTCCAACAGCAGCTGCACAACAGCATAAATAATCTGCAGCAAAATACAAAGCCCAACGCCAACTCCCGAGAAGAATGCCGGCAGACCCTCCTCCTCCTCCTTCCCCGTCTGAAACTTGTCTTGTCCAGCCGCCGGGCCCGCGATTTCGACCTGCTGTCGCTCCAAACGTTGTTCCCCCGGGGCGGCGGCGTCCTGAACAGTAGGCTCTTCCCTCACGCTTGGGGTAGCGCTGCTGCTGCTGCTGCGAGGAACACCCAGAGAGTCTTCAGAGGACACGTCGGCGCTCGCTGCCGGTTCCTTACGGATAGAAAGCCGGGGGGAAGAAGGCGGAAGCGACGGCGACGGCGAAGGGGTAGTAGTAGCAGCGTAGACCGCAACGGGCAGAATGTGAGTCTTGTACCGGAAGCTGTCGAAGATGGCTCGGTCGTGTGCCCAGCAGAAGTTGTAGGACGGGGCGTCGACGCGGTTGTCGCAGTTTTGGATGTGGCATTTGTCTGAGTCCCATTTTGTGTGTGAGTTATGTGATATAGGGGAGGGGCATTGAAGAGGTTTCTTACGTTGGAGGCACAGTCGCCTGGAAGAGGAGGCCGGATCGATTCGAGACTTGCAGCCCTCGACGACGCACGTCGAATCTGGACGTTTTGTTAGCCTTCGAGGATAAGAGAACATTTGAGGAGGAGAAACAAACACACGTTCATGGCAAAAGGCATCTGAAGACCTCTTTCCAGCGCAGCACAGGCCCAAGCTGGGGCTCAGCGAGCAGGAATCTGCAGCAACGAACGTCAGATGACGGGACCAAAAAAAGGAGAGAAAAAAAAAAAAAGAAAAAAAAGAAAAAAAAGGAGAAGAAGAAGAAGAAGAAGAGGAGGAGGAGGAGGAGGAGTCAACTTGCGTCTCTGGCAAAACTTGGAGGTTCTTGTCTCGCCGTCGTGAGACTTGGACATGCGCTCGCGATGGCAGTCAGGGGCGTTGCACGTCTTTGTCGGTCTGGAGCCGTGACGGCTGGAGCGGCGGCTCAAGAGTTGGTCGCGCGCCATGGTGGTTTGTTCTCGGGTGTATTTGAGAATCAGAGAATGATTGGGAGCTGATGAGGGGGGGTTATCCTTTTTTGGTTGTTGGTTGAGGGTGGGAATTGATGAAGCTTTGGAGAGGAAGCAAGGGGATATAGAGCTGCTTGTCATGACAGTGGAAGTGATGGGGACGACATGGTCAAGATATACCTTGTCGCAGCGTCATGACGGAAATGAGCCTCTTCTTGAATCAAACTTCCTAGATTTGGTCAGAGTGAAGCTTCTCTTTGGGTGCGTCTCCCGAGTGAAGGCATGATGTGGCGCCTTGAGCGAAAGGGGGGAGCCTGCAGGTGGCGCCGTTGCTTTGTGCAGCGGGCAAGAAGTCTGCGGGTGGAAGAGCAGAATGGATGCTGTAGGTACATGTATATATGCAGACTTGCCGTTTGATCAAGCATTTCCATGAGCTTTCTAGATGAATTCACCAGATAATTGTCTGTAGCTGACTTGGATGCTTATGCAAAGGCGTGGATTCACTCTTGAATGGCCAAGGCTGGTGATTGATTCCCAGCTTGTCTGAACCGCTGGCTGCCGTTTGTCGGTGGCATCAACCAGCCGGGCACCAGAGAGCAATGTGAATCGAGTGTGCAAAGCCCATTCCAACCATCAACGCCATAAACGGGACGAAAAAAAGTCAATTCACTCTCGGTTTCGTCAACAGAGTCGACGCCTCAATCGGTAGCTCCCACCATAGCCGACCCTCCTCCCCGGGAAACTCCAGTTCTCCTTGTCCCCGGCGCCCCCCCCCACAAGCCACAGATACAAGATGCCCTCCCCCATCTTCTTTCATCCCAACTCTCGGAGAAGCTAATGGTAGGATTTATATCATCTCATCCCCTTTTTACCACCTTGATGGTCTCGTCAGTCTCAGTTTCGGCGAGGACAGCGCCGATACAGTAGGACTGGCATTGAATCAACCCCCCTAAACATACCTAGACCCTAGAAGTATGCAAATCCTTGACAACGACAAATCGGACAAATAACATGCGATTGTCTCCGCGTCTCCGCACGAAGCTAAGCACTTTTCCCCCGCAGCCAAGCCTTTTGCCGTTTCCTCGTGAGCCGCTGCCGGGGAATGTAAATGAAAGGAAAATGGATGATAAGCTGCGGTGTGCGGTGCTTGCATGGCCCGGTCACATCATAGATAGCGAATAGTGTGTGTGTGTGTGTCCCGTCCGGAGGACAGTCACAGCATGACCCATTGCGTGGACTCGCTCCCGGATGAAGAGGAACTGGGTATTCTCCTAGTATACGGAGTTGACGGACAAGGCAGCTCTTGTCTGCATGTAATGCAATGTAATGCAGCAGCTCACCAACCCCGATTACGTCAAAACCCCCAAAACCCGTGTTGCAAAGGCGTAACCTCGCCCTCACCTTGGAGACCGAAATCTCACGAACCCTCTCCATCAATCTTGTCAAGTGTTGCTTCACAGAACCCAGATTCCTGCTTTCTCATCCCCCCCCCCCTTTGTTTCCTCCTTTGTTATCTACACATACAGTCTCTTCCTCAGATGCACCAAACAGACACCTCCTCCCCCATCCTCTGAAAAACCGCATCACCACCACACACATGCAAACCCTCGCCCAACCCCCATCATGACGCGCCTCGGCACATGGAGGGCCACGTACCTCGTCGCCCTGTCATGTGTCGGCTCCTTCCTCTTCGCCTACGACACGGGCATCGTGGGCGGCGTCCTGACGCTGCAGTCCTTCCAGCGGGACATGGGCTTCAGCGAGCGCGAGAAGGAGAACGTCGCCTCGCTGTCGGCCAGTCTGCTGCAGGCGGGAGGTAAATTTTACCCCAACGATGAGAAATCTTATGGCTGGTGTTTGCTGATAAGTTGACGGCGTTTCATTTAGCCTTCTTCTCTTGCCTGTTCGTGTGGCCGTTTACTGCGCGGTATGGCCGGCGATGGGCCCTGGCTGCGGCTTCGCTCATCTTCAACGTCGGTGCCGTATTGCAGCTCATCTATCAGCACGGCATCGCAACATGGTACGCCGGACGGACGATATCCGGCATCGGAGCAGGTAAAACAAAACAACCACATCCCCATCTCCCCCCCCTACGGCCATGACTGAACACCGACCGACAACACAGGCGTCGCAACCGTCATCATCCCCATGTACTCGGCCGAAATGGCCCCCAAGGAGATCCGCGGCCAGCTCGGCTCCCTCTTCCAGTTCTTCTTCACCCTCGGCGTCTCGGCCAGCTACTGGGTCGACTACGGCGCCGCGCAGCACATGGCGCCCTCGACGACCGCCCAGTGGCGCGTCCCCGTCGCCCTGCAGCTCGTGCCCGGCGGCATCCTGGGGCTGGGCATGCTGCTGACCCGGGAGAGCGCGCGGTGGCTCGCGCAGCGCGACAGGCATGAGGAGGCGCTCGAGTCGCTCATCTGGGTCCGCGGAGGGGACCGGCTGGAGGTGCGGATGGAGTATTGCGAGATCGTGGCGGGCATCGAGGAGGAGGAGAGGCTCACGGCGGGGGTGTCGTGGAGGGAGTATTGGTTGCCGGCGAATCGGCATCGCATCTTTTTGGCGGTGACGCTTCAGATTGGTGTGTTGTTTTGTTGATTTTTGTTTTACTTTCTTGTGATGTAGGAGCGCAGTTGACTGGAAACACATCTCTGGCCTATTGTACGAACACGTCCCATCCCTTCTCATCTGATACTCTCCATTTGATATCATATATCTGAGATCTCCCTGTCCAACATCATCCCATCGGGTATGAAATCCTAGCTGACACACCGCAGTCTCCCCCCAGGTCTTCCAAGCCGTCGGCGCCGGCCAAAACGCCCTCCTGCTCAGCGGCTTCTTTGGCGTCTGCAAGGTCGTCAGCTGCGCCTTCTTCCTGCTCTTCCTCGTCGAGCGCATCGGCCGCCGCTGGTCGCTGCTCGCGGGCTCGTTCCTCATGGGCGCCTACATGTTCATCATCAGCGTGCTCACGCAGCGGTACCCGCCGGCCCGAGGAGGGGAAGGGGAAGGGGAAGGGGGCAAGTTGACGGCGCCGGCGATTGCGTCGTTGACGATGATTTTTCTCGAAACGAGTGCGGTTTGCCCCTTTCTATCCCCCCTGATCGTTCACAATGGTGTGATGTGTTCGTGTCTTGAGTTGCTGATGTGGGACGCAAAATTGCAGTGACGTTCAACATCTCCTGGGGTCCCATCCCATGGGTAAGTTCTCTTATACCTCCGACCTGGCTCAACGGGAGTCCTAATCCACATCAAAAAAACAGCTGTACATGAGTGAGATATTCCCCACGAGGATCCGCGAAGGGGGCATCGCCGTCGGCGCGGCCACCCAGTGGCTCTTTGGCTTCACCCTCAGCCAGGTCACGCCGGCGGCCGTCAACAACCTCGGCTGGAAGGCCTTTCTCATGTTCTGCTGCTTCAACTGGGCATTGGTCCTGTACACCTGGTTCTTTATCAAGGAGACCAAGGGCTTGTCGCTGGAAGAAATGGATATTTGTGAGTCTTTTTGTTTTTCGAAAAAATCGAAGAATCGGAATTAGACAAGGCGTGGTGTGTGATGAAGCTGACCAGGTATACACAGTGTTCAACGCCAAGCGCACACCCATAAGCGTCTTGTCCTACCGCCACGAAGATAAATCGTCAGACGACGACGTGTAATGCGATAAACCCCCCCCTCGAAGTAGTTTTTCTTTCATCTACTTTGTTCATGTTTCCACTAGTATCTGAATCAAGTGCTTCAAGCAGTGCGCTCCATATGTTCTTGCATGTCGGTCTATCATAGCGCAATTCGGTATTATAAGTACGATGATTGATGACTTTGTAAGCGCCTCGGAATGATGAATAATAAAGCAAACCTCCTCATGGTTGTCGCGAATTCGGCCTTTCGGCCTCCGCCAAGAGCGACGTGACGTGCTAAAATTCATCGAGCCCCGAACCGAGATGGTAATTCTCCGAGACATGTCTTTCTTGTAGCACCTTATATATCCATCTTCATCCCCATGACGTGCAGCTCTTGAACTTGGTTTGTACTATAATGCAAACGGCTCTGTCGATAAAGGCACCGCCGGCTTCGCTGTCCGGTCGTCGCCTGCCCGGGCTGCTACTCCGTCGCCGAGGTGGGTGACCCCTTTGATACGGAACTGCATGGTATTATACAAGTCATTCTAAGAGGAAAGGTCATGTATACAGCCGCTGCACAGATCCACCACCAGTCAAACAGAATACAACGAGGCCAAGGCGGACTGAGTCAACATCAGCCGGCTCGGGGGCCTTGGAGGCGGCAGTTGAGTTCAAGGGCCTTCTTCACTCACCATAGTCGTCACCGCTCGCCCAATCCTTCATCAAGAGATCCCTCCTCACTATCATCCGAAGCTCCCAGAGACAAGATGGCCTGCATCTCCCTCATCCTCACGCCAGAGGTCCTCCTGGGCGTCCGAGAGTTCTGGTTCGAGCACCTCTCCGGCCCAGACGCCCTCATCATCCCCAACGCAGAGGCGAACAAGCGCTGGTTCTTTGGCGGCCCCGACTTTGACAAGCTCTGCGTGTAAGTCCCCCGCCTCAACAGCATCTCTCATTCTCAAAACTTCACCTCCAAAACCCCCCCTTTCTCCCCTGACAGACCTTCCCCCTCCCAGAGAACGCTTCGGCCCAACCCTCGCCGCCATCCGCTCCCGCGGCATAACCTCCGGCCACGACATCATCTACGCCCTCCAGCCCACCGACGCCCACGACTGGCTCAGCCTCGTCCTCCTCCTCGACCAGATCCCGCGCAACTGCTTCCGCGGGGAATCCTCCGCCTCCGTCTTCACCTACTGGGACCCCATGGCGCGGGACGTCGCCCTCGCGGCCCTCGAGCGCGGCATCCCCGACCGCTGGCCAGAGATCCGCTGGCGCTTCGCGTGCCGCGCGTGGTTCTACGTCCCGCTGATGCACGCCGAGGACGCGCCGCTGCACGAGCTCGCGGTGGGAAAGTACCAGCTGCTCGCGAGGGACGTTGAAAGCCTCATGGCAACAACAACAACGTCGTCTGACATGAACGGGGAGAGGAGGAGCAGCAGCAGCCCGGGCGAGGACGATGATGATGATGAGAGTGACGACAACGACGATGTGGCCGTGGTGGTAGACCGCGAATACCGCCTCGCCGCGCAAAAGGTCGTGCAGGCGGATCCCGGCGCCGCGAGGGAGTACGCGCAGCTGAACCTCGGCTTCGAAAAGAGGCACTGGGCCGTCGTCCGGCGGTTCGGGCGGTATCCGCACCGCAACGGCGTGCTGGGCAGGGAGACGACGGAGGAGGAGCGCGAGTACCTGGACAATGGGGGAGACACGTTTGGGGGGTGATGATGCCCTGGGGGGGATCGGGATACTAAATCGAACTTGGATGTCAAAGATACTGGAATGGCCCTCTCGTGTCAGCAGCGTGTAAGAATACGACAAACACTAAAATATGAGATACAAAAGCCAATTGCTTCAGCCTCGTCCCCTTACCTCGTACCTTACATTCAAATTAAAATCCCCATCCCATCTCACCCCGACCCCCGCGAAACGCCACCGGCCTCCGGAGCAACTCCCCATTCAAATCCCCCCAACTCAACCCCATCAAATCTTCACCAACGAACAAACAGCCCAAAACAAAACAGCCCACCATCAATACCCAAAATCCCCCGGCTCTACAGTAATGTAGCCCAACCAACCGCCACACGCACCTCCAAAGTGTGTTACTCCAATTTTTTTTTTCTTTAGCAAGCACCACGCCAACTGTCTGGTGTCTGCTGCCCCCTGTGATTCGTCCGTTCAAGTCGCCTTGTTGCATCGCTGTCCTCTTTCTGCATGTACACACACACACCAGACTAATACTACTCTTCTTTCTGACACACACACACACAACTCACAATCTTCTTTCTTCCTTCTTCATCATCTTCTTTTTTTTTCTCACAACCTGTCGTGTCAGTTTCGCGTCAACCGACTCAATTGACCCCCATCGCGAGCCTCAAAACATCCCGAGGTTCCAACAAGGCGCCATCTGCCCCTCCCCCCTCATTCCCCTCACTTTTTCACCCTCATCCACAAAAAGGCAACCAAAACCTCCAAACGCCACCTCTCACGGTACCTACCTTTCGAAACAAATCGCCACCAAAACATCCCAAACACGCAAATCACCAGCCTCCAAAATGGTCACCACCCGCGCCTCCTCCCGCGCAGCCAGCGTCGAGCCCTCCTCCCTCTTCCCCACAACCCCCTCCACCAAACGCAGCACCACCTCCAAGTCCGTCACCAAGTCCTCACGCTCCTCATCATCCTCATCCTCCTTCGTCCACGCGCCCACAACAACAACCCTCGTCTGGCTCGCCATCTCCCTCCCCCTCGTCGTCTGGGACACGGGCTACGTCCTCCTCCGCCCCCACTCCATGCCCGGCGGCTCCCTCCACTACCCCCTCTGGGCCCCCTACAAGCTCTACGGCGAGGTCGACCACATCTACGGCTGGAAGGCCTTCCGCGCCGGCAACGGCTTCACCAGCGCCCAGGGCCTGCTCAACGCCGTCGAGACCCTGCTCTACCTCTGGTACGTCGGCGCCTGGTACTTTGCCGGGAAGCGCTCCTCCTCGGCGGCTGGTTACAAGGTCGTCGGCGGGAGGACCGGTGCCAGGGCCACGCTCGTGGGCTTCAGCGCTGCCGTCATGACGCTCAGCAAGACGATTCTGTATTGTAAGCTCTGAGACCATTTATGCAGTTTTCACAAATTCCCTTAAAAAAATAAAAAATAAAAAGGGAACTGACAGCGACGAAAAGGGGCAAACGAGTACTACAGTGGCTTCGACAACATCGGCCACAACACCCTCGAGGACCTCATCCTGCTCTGGATCATTCCCAAGTAAGTCATGTCCCTCATCAAGTCACTAGGCACCCACTCTCTAATGCTCTTGGAAAAAAAAAAGCGGCGCCTGGCTCGTCGGCTCGGCCTACATGATCTGGTCCATCGGCGGCGACCTCGTCGCTGGCCTCGACCGCGCCTCACGCTCAAAGAGCGAGTAAAGCCACCCATGAGTCGGTAGCAGAGGGACGTCCATGTATGTTATATGTGTATATGAGTTCTGTATGTATGCTGGCAATGCAAAGAATACGAAAGAAATGACACTCGGTTTCTGCGTCTTTTTGCCCCTGTAATGTATTTTTCAAACTTGGACTCTGAAGGCAGGCGCGCTCATATACCCATGTACCCTCTTTTAACATCTTTTGTACCATATCCCGGGACTTGTAACAGAAAGGAATGTCCAACGCACAATGAATGAATAAGCCAGAGAAAATGGTATCGTAAGCGTGTCTGCCGACACTGGGTATCAACCAAATATGCAACAACATGAAAACAAAAGAAAACAAAAACAAAAATAGTAGCAATATCTCAAGTATGCTTTTCCTCCAATGGATACAATCCGTCCCATTTTCCTCTCCTCTTTCACCAACTTCACATCTCTCATTATGCATTATGCCCCTCCCTCGTCTAGAGTATATGCATGCAAAAGTGTTTTAACTCATATCGGTAAGTCCTCCAAGATCCGTGTATTGTGCCCATGCGTCGTTCGTCTTGGTGTCGGCCTCTCCGTTCGTCCCGTCCATGAAGGCGAGCATCAGGGACCAGTCATCCGAATCCCTTCGCCCGGGGACCCGCGTCTCCTCGGTGATGCTGTTCTCGCGGATGCGGACGGAAATGGGCTTGGCCTCGAGCCCAAAGTTCTTCCGTCGAAGATCTCCGAGCATTGTGTAGCGCCGTTGCAGCGCGGCGGGCGAGGGCGCCGTCCGCGCAGGCTCCAAGCTCCATCGCTTCCTCTTGATGTTTCCTTTGCTGCTGCGGGATGCTCCGGGGATGTGGAGCCCGGCCGCTAAGCTGTCCAGTTGGCCGGAAATGGCGCTGGCTGATGCCGAACGCGGCAGATCCAGCCTAACCGGGACCTTGTCCAGCGGACTCCAGTGGGCGAGCATCATCTCGAGCTCCAACGCGGCGTCCGTCGTGGGCGTCATGGGGCTAGACAAGGCGCTCGTCGACAGCGTGTCGATGGTGCTGCTCGTGCTCTCGGGCACCGACGAGGCGGTCGCGTTGGAGCTCGCGCTCGCGTTGGACTGGGACGACGCCGTCGAATCGCTCCGGCCCGCCAGCGTCCCCTTCATCATCAGCCCCTCCTCGTCCGGCTCGACCGTGACTGTCTGTGTCCCGTTGCCATAGCCTTGTACGACGATCTCGTGGTACAAGGGCTTCGCCGGCCCCGGCGACGACGTCGTCGATGCTTGTGACCCCGACATGGAACTCCTCCTAAATCTCCGCAGCGACCTGCGAATGGTGGAGTTGCGCCGCAGGCTGATGGAAAACGAGCTAGACCGGGACAGAGTGGTCGGCGAGGAATTGTCCGACAGGGTGGACAAGGACGGGTCGCGGCTCTTGTGCGCCAACGCAAAGTAGTCAATATCGGGCTTGATCTCTATCCTGCTCACCGGAGTCTCCTGGATCTTGATGACCCGCTTGGTCACGAGGTCGTCGCTCGCCACAATGTCCGTCTCGATGCGCAGCGCCTTCTTCGTCTCGTGAGATGCCGCGGCCGCCGCCCACGGAGGAGTGCCCTTCATCGACACTGCGAGGTGATAAGACGCCTCCTCGCCCTGCACCTCAGCCGGTTTTTGTGTCGCACAGCGCAAGACTTGGTGGACCGCATAGATCAGAACCCATCGCACCTTGCGCGCCTCCAGCAGGGACATTCTTTCGCTCTTGTCAGCCTTGCTGGGAGAGAGGACGGCGTCTTCTTCGTATCGCCGGTATGCCTGGACGAGGTCGTTCCTGAAACACCTTTCGGTCCAGTTGGATGCCGTGATCAGGGCTGCGACTGTGTCTTGCCGCTGTCCGGCGGTCAACTTCTCGACAAAGGGCAGCTTGGAGAGGCAGCGGAGGCCATCGTGGGAAGACTCAAGTCGGGGCAGCAGTGGTAGGGGATGCGGCAAGGGCTCGAACTGGTTATTGTCGTCAAACGTCTGGACAAGCTGCTCCGTACAGATGCCGCCGACCGCCGTAGGGGGCATGATGCCGGATACGGTGTAGTTGTTGTCCACCAGGAGCTCGTACAGGGTGTCGAAGTCCTCTGCCATTGTGTTGAGCAGGCTTGCCTTGAAGGCCCTGGGAGGGTATCGGCCGAACTTGGCGGCGTAAAAGGACAGCAGGAAGCTGCGAAACCTGTCGAGGTGAGCGCGAGTCCCGGCTGGAATGCCCATCTTGGCCTCTGATAGCTCTTCGTCGAGGAAGCTCCTCAGCCTATTGGCCGTCTGCTGGAGCATAGCGTTCATCTCCAAGCGTGCCCTGCGGACGAGCGTTCGCGATGCCGCACTGATGAGCTATCACATGAGACAAGATTAGTGCCCAGCCCTGCAGAAGAAATAGGTTTGCTCCCCTTACCTGGTACTCTGAAGTGCCAAACAAGCGGTCATGCATGCCGACGCAGTGGGCAAAAGCTCGCCTGTACAAGTCACTCAGTTGAAATGTTTCTGCCAGGTGGAGGGCTGCCGCCGCGTGGACTGGCTCCTCGGCCATGTTCAGGTAGTGAGCGTGGCGCATGTAAGTGAGCAAGTCGTCCACGTTGCTGCCCGGAGAGGACCTGAACTCGCGCAAGGAGTGAAGCAGCGCCACGAGTGCGCTTCCCAGGTTGCCACCCACCATTGGCCGTCCCAGGACCCAGGCAAAGAGGTTTCTGAAAGACAAGTGGTAGAGCTGAGCCTGCTTCTCGGTGGCATGAGGCGGAGCCGGGATGTACAGCTCAGTCGTCGACCTAGGATGCAGCTGATCCCACCTCTCAATGTCCTGCGCCGTCCTGGACGCGAGGCTGTCCAGCACGAGGAACTTTTCGATGAGCGGAAGGCAGCCGGCCGAGAGCAGGGCCGCAAAGGGCAGCTTGAAAGACGGCCCGCGCTTCGAGTCGCCCTTGGCATACAGGTGGACGAGGCAGTTGCCGTTCCTCTCCCATATATCGGGGTCCTATCGCCATGCAACAGCCACAACGGTTAGATTCTTGTTCACACGCCATTGGCGCACACAATCACTGGCGTCTTGTCGCGCATTTTCAATTGGACCCATGCAGAACTCACTCTTCGCAGCCCGTCCCAGTCCCTGCACGTTTTGCTGGCACCATCCCATCGCCGCAGCGGCGCCAGCCTGCCATCCTCTCCAACCGAAAGCCCGCGAGCCCTGCGGACGCTGTTTGATCGAGGCCTCGGACCGGCCATCAGGAGGCAGGAAAGGACTTGCCGAGTGGAGTTGAAGCTGCCCGAAGAAAGGGGAGGGGAGGCGGAAGGGAGACGCTGCGTGGTGCAGGCGGATCGGGTATGTACTTGTAGACGGGCCCCGAAACGGCGAGACAGGCCTCGGATGGTTATATACTACTGTACCTATCAGCGCCGAGTGGTGTATCAGGCAGTGTGTATTCGTATATCAACGCCTCATGCAGGCTGAAGCATCCACAGCAGGAAAAGTCTAAAGTCGATGTCCCTATTCCCTTTTCCCCTTGATCTATTTCGCTATCCCACTCCCCTCACACCATTCCAGATCCAGTCCGTCGCCAGATAAAAGGCAAAAAGCGTCGAATCACGGGCAAGTCGAGTCGGTTTCTCCTCGTCCAGTCCCCAAGCCAAAGGGCAGCCCGAGACGTCACAGGCTAAGTGGCTGGTGAGCCCGCGCTCGTGTTCCCCGGCCGTGTAACTGCTTGGTGTGGTGGTTCCTGCAAGGCTCGAAGCTTGCTGGACGCCCGTCGAGGCTCGATGGCGGTATCACGGCAGTGCGTATTGGCAGTCGAATGCAGCCATGGGATGAAATCACTCGACAGCCACCATGGTGCCAGGCCCGGGCTAGGACCGTACAAGTACGAGTTTGGCTGGACACGGGTGGGGAGGGATGGCGAAGCTCATGGAAAGTATAAAAGAGAAGGGGAGAAGCAGGAGGAACGACACGAACAGCCACGACGTTTCCGTGCTGCTGTGGACGGGGTCGCTCTGGCGGATGTTCTGCTCTGCTCTGCTCTGCTCTCTGGCTCTCCCAAGCGTCGGGTGCCGAAAAGGCAATTGCTGAGCTCTGGTGCTTAGCGCGGCCTAGCGCCTGCTGCCGTAGGGGCCAGGCGCTGTGCAATTTTCCTTTTCCCCTAGCAGCACGCCGCAAAGGCGCTGGCCAGTGGCTGCTGTGCAGGGATGCGGCCCCTGTATTCTAGCCCCGGCGAGATGGTGCTAGGCGCTAGCGGCTTAGCGCGGGACCAGCCATCGATTGCATCAGTCAAGCTCAAGGCACCGGCAGCAGCTTGAAGAAAAAATGGAAGTGCTTCCGAGGGCGCCCCCACTGCAGCAGAGGAAAGCCGTGGAAGGCAATGATACGGACAGTCTGTAATTGATTCACGCTCCAGCATCGCGGTCATTGACTGCGGCGCGGCGGCAGGGAGCGGCATCGACGGACGGACGGTGCGCCAGACGGCAGCCTCGGAGCATGAATCGCCTCATACAGTCGCAAGACGAGCTGCGACGACCGCAGAAACACCACGTTACGAATATGCAGATGCACGTACGAGAAGCAAGCACCGGCAGCACCAGCAGGGATGACATCGCCCTCATCAGCACTGCACACGCCTTGGCCCGTTTTTTGGCGCAAGCAGGAGAGAAAGCCATGTCTCATCCAAGCGTTCATCGCTTGCAGGGGTGTGCCAGCCGCTCACTGGCTCTGCAACGAGCACGAGGCGGTGGTGAGCTGGCACAGAGTCGCAGCGTCCGATCCTTGTTTGCATGACGTTCTCCACCAGAAGCCATCATCAGCTGTGAAGAACAAAAAAAAATGTTCACAGAGTGACCCGTCGGCTTGGGTGCTGCTGCGGCAAATCACTGCTGCTACGTTACTATAAGGAGTATCACCTTGTCTTCTCGACAACTAATAAGAGCGTAGCACGACGAGCACAAGCACGACAGGACGCTTTGTTGGGCAACGAGTCGCTTCTGCGCTTTTTTGCCTTGGCGCAGACGTCTTGCTGGGGCCAGCATCTGGATGCATATCAACCCACGGCCGCGACCGGCCAATCTGACTACGAGAGTCCAGATATATCCATATTCGCCTTCGCCTGCCTTGGTTCTGGGTCCCGCCACGCAGTGCTCACTCTTTGCATGCCGTGGCATACATGTGCCGTGGCATATCGTAATATGGAGAGCCCGGCCAGTCGAGTCCCGCGGACGCAGAGAAATGGCTGAACCAGTAGCATCCTGTTGCTGGTGAGCTGGGCTGTCTAAGGCCAGTCAGTCAGTCAATGGGCAGAGCGCGGCCGAGACGCATCCACGTCACTGCCTTGGACATAGACTATTGCCAGGCTGAGTCCCTCTGTCAACAGACAAGATCCAATCGCGCAGTCGCAGCAATGTCCTAATTGCTGCCTGTGGGCATGCTCCGTTACAGTACATGTCTCGTCGCTTCTACTATTTCGAGTCCAGAGAATTAGCCCACGTTGACACGGCGTGTGTCCCTGTTGATCGGTCGGTTCTGCCTCATTCTAACTCATTCTCATCCTGGCTGACGGCACCTCTGGCAAAATTCTCCTTCCGTTTCTCGTGAAAGGCGCCCGGGAGTGGACCGAAGCAAAAAAAGTGACGAGTATCATCGTGCCATCCGGGCTCTGCTCTCTCCTCTCGACTTGACAAGCTTTTTAGCCCATCGGACAGGGATTGACGATGTTCAACTCCACCTTCGGCGGCACTGGCGGACTGCTGTGGGCTGCGGCCATCCCATCTCAGATCCGATGCGCCAGACCTCGCCCGACGTCGTGCGGGCATCATCGACTTCCAGTATTGCGTTACCTGCGTTCGCCCCCGAAACCAAGTGCAGCTCCCTTGCAGTCTGTTGGCCGGAACCAGCGAAACATGATGGGCGATGTGTGCCGGCGACGAAACGAAAGCCTTTGTTTCCCCCAGATGGTCTTACAGCATGTGAGACTCTTGTCGCAATCTGCTCGCCGTGGCTAGCATTCGTTTTGCCTTTTCGCAACCTGCTCGGCTTGTCTTTGGATCTGGAGTCTCCACAGCTCTGTGATACCGCGCCGCTTAAGCGTTCAACAAAGGACACTTCCCTGTAAGCCTCCTCGGTAAAGAACCAGACTGCAGATTCCGAGAATCGCCTTTCTCCTTACCGATCTCGTTTTGTCAGCCTTACGTACGCTCGTAAATACTATCGACTTTTGCGTGCTCACTCAGCCAGCTCAAGTTGAAAGGTTAAATACGAGCCACTGTTCCTGATTACTTCTGGCTTCCCGTGCCTTCTCCTCTCTCTGGTTCCTGGCCTGAACCTGGACGAATGTGGTGGCACCGCCATCACTGCGAGTAATGTCTCCGGCAGAGACAGCCACAAACCATCCTCATCCCCCGCTTACAACTCCCAAAGAAGAAAAGTCGTCGAGCTTTCACTTTGGGAACGTCAACGAGCGATCTGCTACTTATGGACGATGTTCTTGCGCCTGATAAGACATGGTAACGGACACGTTGGCCTAGCGGACAAGACAGAAACCGGCGACATGAAGTGTCAAGGCATAATCATAGCCTAGTAGTAGAATCACCTAACCACGGCTAGCGGACAACGGCACATCTCACTGTGTTAGTGCCATCTGCCATCGTACACTCGTACTCGTAAAGAAGCAATGTTCTGAGGCTGCCTTTGTTAGTTGCCCATCAAGGTTGTCAAAAAGCAATTGGCATTACATAGCGGGGTTACTTCGTCGCGGACTGTTCGTGTCCGAGTTCCGACTATCCTGTTGCGTCCGTATCAAAGAGCTTGCGTGGCCTGACTTTTGAAGAAGTGGCCTATCCAGATAGGAAGTTCTTAGGTAGCGGATCACCGTCCAGCTTACACGAAGCCGATGTGAAGAAGCTAGTTCGAAGAAAGTTCAGCTGCCATGATGGCAATGTTAAGGCAAGACTTTGAAGATCACTCCAGGTCGAAAGGGCAAAGATTGGCGTTGTCGTCGGAAACGGTGAAAACCCCATCAAACGAAAACGGCGAGCCTGGGACCGTCTTATCGTCGTCGCATCCAGAGAACGCCCGAGGGCAGTTTCAACTGCAGATCCGCCACCACCCGGAATCCAGCATCTTCCCGCCAGCCGGGGGAGCTGCTGCTGGTCATGGCAGCGTCATTGCAATCAATCGATCGCCCGTCATGAGAGCTTTGGCCAGGATCATCAATCAGAGAATCTGGGGCGCGTCTGCGGGAGACAAAGCGGGGAACCGATACGAGGTACCAAGGGCTTACCTAAGGCATCGGCTGGTGGAAGTAATTACATAAGCGGGCGAATCGATAATCGCTCGGTTTGATCTGATTAATAAAGGGCTGTTGTATCACGTGAAAAGAGAGTATGCTCACCGAGCTCACCTTGACTCGAACACTCTCACCGAGACTTCGTCAAGGTGGGCAGCTCAGCTTATGATATCCGCCTCTGTTTACTCTTCACTCATTCCGCCCACGCAACGCGCCATGTAACGTCAAAGATGGCGCCTCTAACCCCATACACATACATCCAATGCCCTTGCTCGGACCAGACCGTTTATCATCCAACCGGCGCGGCATCAGATCCCGAAGACGACGACCGAGCGTTCGACCCAAAAGCCCCGCGGTCAAACTACAGCTTATATCCGATCGAATACCTCCTCTATTGCGAAGACTGCCAGCAGATCCGATGCCCCAGATGCGTGACGGAGGAGTCCGTGACGTTCTACTGCCCTAATTGCTTGTTTGAGGTGCCTAGCAGTAACCTACGCAGTGAAGGCAACAGGTAAAAGACGGCCCCTTTCACAATTGTCACGGCTTCAACTTCTGACTTGCTGCTGGGGGCCAGATGTACGCGAAGCTGTTACCAGTGTCCAATCTGCATCGGACCACTCCAGGTTGGCGCCATCCAGCCCACCACGGATGCGAATCTCCTCCCGACACAATATCAGGCCAACCCCAGCGGTGGCCCATACGCCCTCTTCTGCCAGTACTGCAACTGGACGTCGACCGAGATCGGCATTGAATTCGACCGTCCCAGCGGGATATACAATCAGCTCTCCAAAGTGAACAATGGAGGCCAGCCCAAGCTCACACTGCGAGACGTCAAAGACCGGCGGAAGGACAACCCAGACGAGCCCCCGGTGCCCGACGACCAGGTCGACGCGGATCTGCAATTCGCCAACCTGAAGGCCTTTTACCAACAGCAGCTCTCGGAGGCAAACACGTCATTACGCGGGCTGCCGTTGCATGACGGGCTGGGATTCTCGTCTCCCGCCGCCCTGACGCGCATCATGTCCCTGTATACCGGTCGTGGGCACCAGGGCCGCCTGCAACAGGGCCCTGCGGACATTATGCGCGAAGCGCTCGGCACAAACGACGGCCTGAAGATTGCCAACCTGGACGAGTCGGCGGACATCAAGAAGCTCTTGGACGGAGGATGGGGCGCGACCGCTTCCCTTGAGCAGCGAAGCCAACAGGCAACGGAGTCTGGACGGTTCGAGGACGAGCTCCGGCCGATTGCCTATCTTTTGCGCAGCAAGCGGTCGAAGCGTTGTCCTTCTTGTCGGCACATCATATCCAAACCGGAGGCCAAGGTCGTGTCTACGAGGTTCAAGATTCGCTTGGTTGCAAAGTCGTATATACCCACCATCACAATTCGGCCGCTCAATCCTACCGCGCCGCCTGTTCCCATCACGTACAGGCCCATGGTCCAAGAAGAAGCGCCGCTGAAGCCGCATCAACCATATCACTTCGTGGTTACGTTCAAGAACCCCCTGTTCGACAACATCAAGGTCACGTTGGCCTCGCCAAACGCAACGCCCGGCCGCTTCTCCAGCAGAGTCACCGTGCTGTGTCCACAGTTCGAGGTCGACGCCAACACCGACATGTGGGACGATGCCCTCAAGGACGAAGAAAAGGATCGCAGCCGCAAGGCGGACGAGGGCCCCGAAGTGGGCAAGATCTGGGAGAAGGGGCGCAACTGGGTGAGCATCGTGCTCGAGGTCATCCCGGCGTCTCTGCGGCTCGATCAACAGCAGCAAGGCAACAAGGGGGAGAAGGTCGACATGAGCCCGCTCAAGGAGGGCGAGGATATTCTTGAGATTCCCATGTTTGTGCGCATGGAGTGGGAGGCTGATACGCAGGCTGACATGGATGGGCCTCCCAGCAAGGACAAGGAGAGCAGGGAGAAGCGAGAACTGGCGTATTGGTGCGTGCTGGGCGTTGGGCGCATCAGTCAAGAATGAAAGCGACGAAGTGGGACATTTACAGCGATAGATACCCAAATAGACGGTCGAAAGAGACAGGCAGATAACGACAAGAGACATGCAATGAAGAGGATGCCATGAGAAGTGAATTGATCAAATCATGCCAGCAGCTTTATATCATTTCAACGAAAAGCTACCTTGATATCAGACGCCAAGCCCAAAATGTTGACCAACCCACCGATGCTTCTTCAAACAAAGCAACGCATTTTTATGCTCCCAAATGACCCCGGAAAGAGGAAAGAAAGATTATGTCTCAAATCTTTATGTGAATGCCAGTTAGATTAACTTTTTTCTTTGGTATCAACTAGTCTAGAACTCGGTGGCACCGGTCTGGGGGAACTCGAAGTTGACGTTGCGGCCGGTCAATCGTCGGTAGACCTCAGAGTAGGTGTCGAGCCTGTAGTCGACGCCACCGCGCTCCTTCTCGTCGAGGATGACCTTGAGGGTCTTGCTGCCGTCCTCCTTGGTGCGGACGCGCTTGCCGACGATCTCGACGGGGTAGGTGAGATCGGACAGGATGGCGTCGTGGACAGCGGTCAGGGTGCGGGAACGAGGGCGCTTCTGCTTCTGGGTGTTGCGGGAGCGGGCGGAGCGCTTAGGGCGGGGGAGGATGCGGCGAGCGGCCAGGATGAGGACGTGGCGGTCGGAGAACTTCTTCTCCAGCTCACGGGTCAGGCTGAGATTGAGTTAGCAGCTGATATGCTTTACAGAAGGGGGTCTGCTTACCGCTGCTGAACACGGTGGAAGCCCTGCAGGGAAGGGACGGGGACAAAGATGACGATAGCCTTCTTGCCGTGGCCAACTTCGATCTATTCAAGATCCCAAAGTCAGCATGCGAGCTCCAGGACAGATGCCTTGGACCGCTTCCCGTCCTGCTCCACAGAAGTCAATATTACTCCGGCCAGGCGGCGCGTCCCTCGACGTAATGATTTTTCTCTTTCTTTCTTCTTATATCCTAGAGGGAGCGGATCGATGTTTCCGTTCTGTCGAATTGGAAATATTCAACCACTTCCACTCCGCCGAGGGAACGCCAATCGCACTTGGAGCCATTGTATTGTATAGCTTTGGGAACAGGAGTCTCGAGAGATGTTCGGTCTGTTGTAGTTCTGGTTTTCAAGTCATTCTCACCTCACGGGCAGAGACAAACTGCAGAGGTCGCAGGGCAACCTTGAGGTCGGCAGTGTTGCTCTCCAGGTCGAAGAGAGCCTGAGCAATGTTCTGCTCAAGCTCGGAGGGGTTTTGCCTCGAGGGGCTGTTGGCGGCGATCTTGTTGATGGCGCTCATCTTGTCTGCTGATGCTCAACGAGGGAGTTGGATGAGTGAGATCGTGACAAGGGAAATTCAGAAGAGCCTCTTTGGTTCAGACCTTGGCGCACTTGGGAAATTGTTCGCTAAATTGGGGTTTTCGTGCCCTGCTCACGTTTGTTGTGCGCTTGCAGGGGCTAGAGAAAATGTTCGCCTGAGGCGACAATTAAATGTGGGACATTACCCGATTTGACAGTGATGGGGACTTGTCAAAGTGGGGCGCTGTCTGTCCAATCCTGTGCGGGTTCCTGAGATCTCGGATCTTGAATCGTGAATCGAGTTGGACATTCCCTTGCATGAAGAACTGCATGAAGAACTGCAAGAAATATGGTGAATGGGACAGTCCTTTCACTGCTCGATCTCTTATAAGGACATAAGACCTACCTTGATTACACGATCTGTGCCTAGTTCGCCAGCTGTCTACCATCAGAACTCAGTATTTTGCGCATCCATGTTCCATCCATCTCCTTCCCATATGCCACTCCAGTTCATGATTTGATGTCCCCTTGAAAGACTCTATCTCTCCATTGGTAATTAGTAGCCATGCAAACATGATGGATTGCTTTACATGTTGACAAATAGTCGTTGCCTTTATTCAATGGCCTGATGTTAGGCTGCTTCACGGGGCTGCTTCATCCGCCGACTCACCTCGTTGCGAGATGTTGCCTGCTTCAAAAGTCTACGATGAAGGGTGATCCTCACGTGCATCAAAATCTATCACCATCGTCCATCTTTATCGCCATCAGGCTGTCATGGCCATATCTGGACTAAGTCAATTCACCTCAATCGTCAATTTTTGGCGAGTTTCGTCATTAGAGTCGCGTATCCGATTTCTTGGGGAAGGAGCGGCAAGTCTTCTCTTGCCTCAGACATCGTCTGCTCCTTCCCTTAGAAGAGGCCATACATCCCCAGGCTAAATGTCTTCCGGTCTCCCCCATCGTCTTTCTTTCTCTTTCTCTTTTCTTTCCATTTCATCCTCAGTCTGTCTGCCACTCGTTAGCCCAGCTCCGTCCTCCCGTTGTTCCCGCATCTCTCAGCCTTCTCCAGCTTCTCATCACTCGTCCGGCCATTCCTCCATCACAAGGAGATGAAACGCCTTCTTGTACTCGCCATCATTGGCGTGACTGGTGTTGTCTGCCAGTCCGCGCACAACACAGCCGACTTCTCGTATCAAGGCTGCTCTTCTATTGACCTGGCCTGCTTCGGAGAGCCAATTGCGTTTTCTGATAGCCCCGTGGCTCCCGAAACCTGTCAAGCTGCATGCCGCGGTCACCAGTTTGCCGCGGTCCTTCCTGAGTGAGTCTCGGCACATGGTTATCCCCTACTTACAGTACGACATATCTGACTGCCTTTCAAGCTGCTGCCGATGTGGCGATGATCCAAATGGCGTTCACCCAGCCGACGAGGCAAAGTGTGACTACCCTTGCCTGGGAGACAGCACCCGCGGCATGTGTGGAAGCATTTGCCCAGAGAACTCGCCTGTCATCGCCAACGTCTACACACGAGTCACACCGAGCCAAGGCCAGACATACGGAGACCCAGCCAATGTTCAGTCTTCTGTTGCTGCAGCTGAAACTCCGTGCCCATCTGCCGGTGCTTCGTCAGTTGAAGAGTCTTCTCAATCTCCCCAGCGTGTTACGCCTGCCGGACCAGCACCAGAAGCACCGACGTCATTCGGAAACCCTGTAACTGGAAATTCTGCGGCTACGGATATGCCAACCACCGAGGACCCAAACACTCAGGGTGCCCAGGGACCTCCATGCACGACTCAAGGCAATCCAGGAGTGAGCACACCTTCACAGGGTCCTCTGACACCGCCCGGTAATGCTCCAGAGCCCAAGACGTTCTCTGCTCCAAATCAACAATCTCCCAGCACGACACCGTCTTCCAACGCACCAAGCTACTCGTCGAATTGCCAGTCGTCTCAGCCAGGTTCCTACTCTGACGAGAATGGCCCAGGTACTCCAGGTGGAAGCCCTGGCGGGGACACATCGGTGGACAACTGTGACCCTCCTGGCGGCCCGAGTCTCTCGCCTGTCGTTTCTCAGACCACTCTTTGGCCATGGCCAAGCAAGAAGCCCGAGGGCGATCCCCCGGCCCCCTCGCATGTTCCAGCTTCGAACTCGCCATGCGGAGTTGTTCCTCCCCTTTCGAGCATTGGAGGATTTATCTTGTTGGCGGCAATGATCATGTAAAGTCTTATGCGGTATAGTTTGTGCTGTCGTGGCGAAGGCCATTGATGGGATATCTCAAGGAATTGTTGTTTTGGGGCAATTTTGGGCGCTGACCGAGGGTCGTGGAGGCTATCGGTTGAGCGCAGAGACAAGTCACATATCAGATATTGTAGAAAAGGGGCTGCCACTTAATTGATTCGATTCTGCCTATGACTTGTTGTAGGTGTGAAGGTTTACCTATATCCCAAGGCAGCGCAAGTCTTGCTTTGGCAGCATCGTCATGTGCTGTTTGACAACTCCTCACGGCAACCCTTCGGTGCTCGTTCGCAATCTGTATATCAACACGCGAAGAAAGCTTGCAATTCGCCCAGCGACATCGCCGTGGTCTGCAGGGTAACGGTGAACTGCTGGCTGGTTGACTGCCCACCATGTGCAGCGCTTGGTGGGGCTTGGTGCCACGTTGTGGAGGGGCGTCGTGGTGGTTGTCGCAACAATGGCGGGGCAGCCAGGAGAGGCTTGGACTTGGACTTACATGCGTCGTCAGGCCTTGCCCCGAGGCTTGAAACCTGGCGTCTTCATCTACAGCCACGGCTGCTCTCGTTGTCGACAGTAGACTGCCGTCCTTGCAAAGCCTCGAGCCAAGATGCAGTCCGGAATCTCAGGTACGCACCGCCGTGACGGTGCCGCAGCCGTCGGCCCTCCGCCTCCGACTCCCCCTATTGTTGCGGTGAAGCTGATCACAGAACGTCGAGCACAGCCTCCGAGGAGCTCCAAAAGGCCTTCAGCTCGCTGCAGGCGTCGCCGTCCGACTTTGCCCTGCTGGTGACGATCCAGCGCGAGGCCCTGGTGCCCGTGGAGACGATTGCCGGCAAGTCGGCCGACTTTGGCGAGAACCTGTCGGTGCTGGAGCCCTTTGTCAAGCCCGACGCGGCCCTGTACGCCATCCTGCGCCGCTACGAGGACTCGCCCCGGTTCGTGGCCGTGACGTACGTGCCCGACGCGGCCAATGTGCGGCAGAAGATGCTGTTCGCGGCGACGCGGCTGACGCTGGTGCGGGAGCTGGGCACGGAGCACTTCCGCGAGACGCCGTTCATGACCATGGCGCGCGAGCTGACGGCGGAAGGGTTCAGGGCCCACGACGCGCACAACGCGCTGGAGGCGCCGCTGACGGAGGAGGAGAAGTCGCTGGGCGAGGTCAAGAGGGCGGAGCAGGAGGCCGGGTCGGGCACGGCCATTCGCGAGATCCATCTCAGCCAGAGCCTGAAGATGCCGGTCAACGAGGATGCCATTGCGGCGATGAAGGAGGTTGCCGAGGGATCCAAGGCCGCGGCGACGCTGGTGAGCTTTTGCTTATACTTCTTTTTCTCTCTTTTTCCAACCACAGGATTGCTAATCGCAACGTTTCCATTGCAGAAAATCAACGCCGCGACCGAGAGGGTGGAGCTGGCGCCCGAGTCTCCCGACACCAGCTCCCTCACCGAGCTCATCAAGGGCATCTCGACGGTCGAGCCGCGCTTCACCTTTTACCGCTTCACCCACACCCACGACGGGACCGAGCAGACCCCGATCCTCTTCTTCTACACGTGCCCCGCGACGGCCGGAAACAAGGCCATCAAGAACAGGATGCTGTATCCTCTGATGAAGCGGGCCGTCCTCACGATTGCCGAGCAAGAGGCCGGCATCAACCTGGAGAAGAAGTTTGAGGTGGAAGATCCCAGCGAGATTACCGAGCAGGACGTGCTGAACGATCTCCATCCCAAGCCGGTGACGTCTTCAGGTTTCAGCAGGCCCAAGCGCCCGGGCAGGTAGAGGAGAGGGGGAAAACAAAGCTCATGAGTTTTCACGACGCACGACATGCAACGATCTTAGCCTGAAGTACTTGTAGACAACTGTCCATATTCTGATACAAGATATATCCACTATAGCTTTGAACTGAACGCAATTCAGCGCCACAACGCAACGGCTACTAAGAAGCATCATGTTCACCGCCGCATATCAATCACCGTTACCCCAAACCCATTGCCCGCTCTCATCGTTCACGATATCCCCCCCCCCCAAACTTAAGCATGTAAGGGCTGACCCTCTTTCATCTCTGCTCTAGAACTAGACTACAAGTCAGACCATCTCTCTCTCTCTCATCCACATGCTTCCGAAACAACAAAAAAAACAAAAGAAAGGGTATATGCGCAGGACAAACAAAGAAATGGCATCGGACAGCTTTTCACGAAACCGCCGTGTAGTTTCCTTACTCCTCATATTTTCCGCCGCCGACGAGCTTCACGTTACTGTGTTCCAGCAGGGACTTGAGGTACTCGTAGACGGTGAAGGTGACGGCCTGGCCGGGGGCCACGCGCATGATGCGGGGGGTGATGCCCTTGTAGAAGGCGTGGAAGCCTTCTTGTCTGGAGAGGAGCCCACCAGTCAGCATCGCCTTTGATCATGGGAGAGAAGATATGGTAGGTGGGAAGGGGAAAACGTACTTGAACATGTCGTTGGTGATGGTGGTTATCCTCTGCCAGGCCGTGGTGCCATACTCCGCCGGCGTCTTCTGCAACCTCGTCTTGATCGTGTCGATGGGCGCATTGCTCAGCGGCCCCATCGCGCCGCTCACGAGACCGATGATGGTCGTCTGCCAGCTGGGCAGGTTCCCGTCCGCGTACTGAGGCTGGAAGTCCTTGAGCCACTTCTTAAAGTACGAGTACGCCGTGAAGTTGACGGCCTGGTTGGACCCCTGCCTGATCGCGGTCAAGGTGACGCCGCGATACAGCGCGCCGACGCCCTCCTCCTTGACGACGGTGTACAGGGCGTGCGCGGCGTTGCGGTACTTGGGGATGTCGAGCGGGTCGGCCATGGAGTGGTGCTGCGCCTGGAGGCGGATCTTGATGACCTCCATGGGGCAGACGACGGCGACGGCCTCGGTCACGCCGGCGGCGAGGCCCGCGACGAAGGTGGCCTGGCCGGAGACGGCGCCGGTGGCGCGGTCGGCGAGGAGCTGCTTGTACCACTCGAAGGAGGTGAAGCGGATGGCCATCTTAGGGACGATGCCGGTCAGGACGGCGCCGAGGCCCTTGTATAGGGCTAAGGGGGTTTCCTTCTTGACGACTTCGAGGCCGGTCTTTATGAAGCCGCGGCGGGGGGCGCCGGGGATGCGGGCGCGCCGGGAGAGCTGCATGCGGACTTTGATTGTGTCTGTTGTCGAACGATGGGTTAGACTTAGTGGTCTGATTGTGAAGGGGTTGAGGATGAGGGAGGTTTGGGACTGACCTAGAGGGTGGCAGGCGAGGGCTTCCATCATGCCGGCGCCGCCTCCAGCTGTTTTGGTGATGGGACATGTGTTAGTTGAGGAGTTCAATGAGTTTTTGAGGATGAAGGAGAGAGACGAACCGATGAGGTTTGTTGCCGCTGTGGGCGGTTGTTTTGATTTGCTGTTTGTCATTGTGTGTATGTGGGTTTTGCTGTGACGAGGAATTGGAGGTTTGGAGGAGAAGCTGATGGGAGGCTTTTTGAGCTTTTTTGCTTCACACTTGAGGGACCTTGACGATGTTGTGCTTGTGGATTACTGCCGAGGTATGTTTTGTGCGTTTCCCTGAAAGAGCCGAGCTTTGTATGTTGTGAAGCTGGGTTTTATGTATAGCTCGTGAGTTTGGCAGCTGAGAGAACGAGCAACGGCTATTCGATCAAGCGAGCTGCAAACAAGGAGAGGGACAAAGGCAGATCAATTCTCACAGGAGGACAATGTTTGCGTAAGTAAGAGGCGGAGGGACCTAAAAGTACGGACGAGAAGAATGAAGATCAATCGACTTGAGCAGAAAGAGGAAGAAAAAGAGTCAAAAAGAAAAAATAAGAGTCATCCAGAGAAGCCGATAATCGCCATTAAGATAGAAAAAGCCATGGGGGGGTTCTTTTGACATCTGATGCCGGCGTCTAGCTTCCTTGTCGTTCTACTACTTCTTGCAAGGTAAGTGAGTTGTCTTTGGATACACACACCCCTTTTGCCCGTTGGAGCTAGGGGCGAAACTTGGGGGAAAGGAAAGGGGACAAGCCACGAACGGCTATTGGTGTTCGGAGTCACAAGGGCTTGTCAGGTCGTGCTGGAGGTGTGAGCCACAGCTCGGCATTACATAGGTATGTAGGTAGTTTGTTTGATGTGGTTTTTTTTTTGTCTACATGTGCTTTTTTACTTTTGTTTCTGTTGGAAGGCCGAGGGGCAGAGTCGACGAGAGGGCGAGCGGCATTGATGCTTCTCGAGGATGTGTCTATATGCTGTTTGAGAAGGACTCCCAACTGCCTGCAATGTACATAAGCACAGCCAGCTCTTCACACGTGAAATAAAAGGGCATACATGGCGTAGAACGTAGTATGTTCTGGTTGGCCCGCGGCTTGTGGCTCTCAGCTCAGCTCGGACTTGCTACAAGTACTGTATTGGTCCCCACACAAGGATGGCTGGGGGAAAAGGCCAATTCAAGGTTGACACAAGGCGTGGGATTGGCAGTTGGTGTACTTAGTTGTACTGTATGTAGTAGAGAGCCGGACAGGTGGAGGAATTTTCGGCTTGTTCTGACCGGGCGACTCCATTCCGATCTGAGTGTGGAGGAGCTCCGTGTGGCCGGAGAAGGGGGGGAGGGGGAGCAAGCAGGGGTGTCCGGACGCAAGGTAGTACATATGACTGTATGTTTACTCTTACCATTGGAACTGAGTAGCAGTAATTATATGATGTTTCAATCAAATGCCAGAACTGATGTAGTGATTTTGTGAATAGAAAGGGAAATGTTGTGAGGGTGCCAATGGCTTTTGCTGTGTAAAAAGTTCCACGTGCGAGCATCTTGCTCGTTTCTCAGCAGTGACGTTATCGCCCTCGTGCCGACCGCATGCCGAGCTTGTGATAATGCGGGGTGCCGAGCAGCCTTGACGGTACGTACCTCGACTAGCCTCCCAAACCTTCCAACCCAAGTACAAGTACGAAAATCAAATCGATAGTAGAAGCTTGAAAAAAGCCGGGAGGGACCGGACACGGTTGGCCCGCTGATTTGCCGTGCTGAGCCGAGGTTCGTCGTTTTTGTTCAAGGGGTTTTCAGGACGATGGATGGATGGGGGGGGCCTTCTTTCGGCTCATGGGAGAGGGAGGGAAAGGGTCAAGTCAAACGTCATTTGCTGGTGGCCGAGGGGGGGTGTGTGTGTGTTGTTGTGTTGATCTTGGGAAGATCGTATGGCTGAGTCATGCTGTGAATGCCGAGCTGGAAGCCAACTCGACGGGATGTAATACGACACGGGTAATTGTGAAGACGAAAAGTATTCGGCGGCAGATGCTATTTGAAGAGGAACTCAAGCATAATCATGCCAGGCTATACGTTACTTACTCCCAGCAGCATTATGGATTGGTGGGCCGCTTCTGGCGGTGAAGAATGGAGATTCTCTCCATTATAGGGTATCCCAGGGACTTTGAACAATCCAGAACGAACAAGACCAGACATGGCAGTACAATGATTACTCCATGACGAAGCAGATACTTCCCGTAATGCGAAGAATACGGCAGTTTAGAAAAGACTAGATTGGAACTGTTCGATGACGTTGTAAGTCCCATTCGTCGACTATGAATACAGATGCTCGTCTACACCCTCCTCTATCTTGGCCGTACATCAATACGTGAACCCCAGCCCAAGAATTACAAGTAATACACAACGTGCGTCCCTCAACAGCCCCCCAATTGATATCCAGTTCGATCCAAGCATACATCTGGACGTCTCTAGCCAAATAGCTTCTTCAACTTTGTCAAATCCTTGTCATCGCCATCAACGAATCCAATCCTCGTCCTGAACGCTTCTCTACAAAGGAGCAAGTCTTCGGCCTAGAATCAGAGCAAAACCCCCCCCATCACAGTTGTGAGGATCCAGACGACCTGCCCGCAATAAAACAAATGATCTATACGCAGCCTCTGTACAAATTTCACAAGTCCATCAATCCTAAACATACCATCAGCTACAGACTTTCGTTTCGTCTGAAATGCCCCGACTCACACTGCGTAACCCGCTTGCAAACGACAAAGCGCTGTATCAACAATTTCAGCCCCCCCTGCCACTTCACAGCATTGAGTAAAACGTCATCCAGAAATAGGACAAATCACTCATCATATCCATGAATAGCGGCAAGTCGATTTACAGCAATAATACAACCGCTGCTGTGAAGAATCCACGACGGGGGAGGGGGCGTTGGCATTGTAGACAAGTCCGCGGTATGCATGGTGCGAATGCTTGCGTAGATATGGTCTAGAAAAGAGGCGTAGTGCCGTGATGGAGATAAGAGCATTCAGGATTGGTTTTGTGGTGAGGACCCGCGTAGATGGACGCATATCTCGGCGTGTTATCCATACATCTGCTATGCTTAAAGAAAGTGGGAGGGTAGTGGTCGTGATGTAGAGACACGGGCTGTTGAGAGGATAGAAAGGCCATGCGATGTTCTCGCAATGAGCTCTACGGTCTATGAACGCTGTCACTCGAAAAGAAATGAGAATCAAGCCATTGTCTTGTGCATTCGTCTGACGAGCTGCCATCAACTAAGAGACCAACCTGGCTATGTACTCTGACAGTAAATTCCATACAATAAATCTCAACATACTCCAAAAGCTCATTGCCTTCATGACCCTTCCAGCTGCAAAACATTAAGCTGCAGCAGCTTCACTGAGATCCTAAACGCCGTTTCCCTTGTCCGCCGAGGGTATCCGTCCCGCTTTGCGTTGATGCTATACCAGCAATGTTGAAAGAAGAGATCGCTCTATCGTTTGTTTTTTGGTGACTGAAGAAAAAGGGGGCCTTCGTGTGCATCCTGCGCATCCCGGCTTCTGTAGCCCTGAACCGTCCGTCTATATCCTCGTCCTTGAATGCAAAGAAAAAAAGATCAAAATCGTTGAATGTGAAGAAGAGTATAAAGGGTAGAATAGGTGGTCGGCGTGTCATCCGAAAATCAGAATGCCAAAGTCTCGCATTCGTTTGCAAGACATTTTCAAGAAGGCGTTCCCCTTTCTTCCAAGCTGTTACCTTCGAAGCTATAAAGGCGAACCTCTCCATCCTCGCTGCCGCTGGCCATCCGACTGTCGCTCAGCCCAACGCAAGTCACGGGGCCGGCATGACCCGTGAAGCTGCGCTCGCATTTGCCTGAACGTGGCTCCCAGATCTTGGTCATGGAATCGTTTGCGCCGGTGACGACGCGAAGAGTGTCGCCAACCAGCCCCCAGATGCCCTCGACGTGGCCAAACATGCTGCGGATGCATTTGCCCGTGGCAATGTCCCACAGCCGAACGGTGTTATCGAGGCCGCCAGTGAGCATGTAGCGAGGAGGCAAGGGCCGTGCAGGATCCGACGTGAAGCCGTAGCCAAACGCAGCACGCCGGTCGGTGGACTGGTCTGGCAACGGTGACGGAGAGTCGCCTCGGCCGCTGCTTGCGGACGCAGCATCGCCTCTGTCAGCGTTGGGGTCTTCGTCGGGCTCAAAGTCGGGTGGCATCAGCAAGATCTGCTGCACCTGTCCGACGTGGCCCAGGTACGTCTTGATGCACTGCTTCGAATCCAGGTCCCACAGCTTGACGGAGAGGTCGTCCGAGGCCGAGAAGACGGTGCGAGACGCCGAGTCGATGCGCACATGGTTGACCCAGTCGGAGTGCCCCCGCAGCGTCCAGGTCTGCTTGGTGTCGAAGCTGAAGATCTTGACCGTCTTGTCGATGGATCCCGAGGCGAGCTTGCACCCGTCAAAGTGGATGGAGAGCACGCCGTCCGTGTGGCCCTGGAGCGTGCTGATGCACTCGCCCGTGTGCCAGTTCCAGATCTTGATCGTCTTGTCGAAGCTTCCGCTGATCAGCTTAGCGTCGTCGAACTGCAGGGTCCTAATCGTTGAAGTGTGGCCACGCAGCGTGCGGATGCATTCTCCCGTCTCGACATTCCAAATCTTGATCGTGGTATCGTAGGATCCTGTCGCCAGGATGTTGTGGTCGAACTGCAGGCAGGTGATGCCATTCTCGTGACCCTTGAACGTCCTGATGGAGCATCGCCCCGTCTTCCAGTTGTATCCGACCTTGTAGCGATCCCGATAGACGTCCTTCCACGGTCGAAACTTGCGCTCTTCGTCGAGTTGCGCCCGACCGTTACCCGCCTTGTTGGTTCGAGTTCGCTTGGTGCCGCTGTCGTTGCGCACCACCATCGCTCGCTTGTTGGATCCTTCGGCGGCGGGCGTTGAGGCTGGTTCAGCTGCTTCAGCCTCATCGGCGCGGTTGGGTGGGTTCGGGTGTGCCGTCTGTTGATGCCGGCTCCAGGCCATGAGTTTTTTCCGCTCCAATAGCGGCAGACCCCAGCCACACTTTGTGCATTTCCGGTCAATGTGCTGCTCGCACATCCGGTGCCAGACGACGTCATCGTCGGCCAGGTCTCTCCAACGCCTGCTGACCTGCGCCGCCTTGCACAACGACACGGTATCTAGATAGCAGAGGATCTTGTACGATAATTCCACAGGCAGCGTGGCGATAAAGTCGATCTTGAGCTGCTCTTGAACTTCGCGGGAGACGGTCGAGAGCTGAGGGAAGCAGCACTGGGTGATGATGCCCTGCAGCATGAGTTCGCGATGTTTGGCCGGAGCGGCGGAGAACAAAGACCAGACGTGGGTGATTGCCTCCTGGTCGGCGGACGGAAGACTGTTGAGCTCCTGCATAGAGGGTTAGCATCGTCAGTTTAGTGACATGTCAAACGACGACGAGCAGGGATGGGCGGCTTAGGTTGGTCTGGACATACCCGCTGGATGGTCCCCATCTTGGTCTCATCTGCAGCCCGACGGCACTTTGAATCGGGACGATGGCGATAGCAATACTTGGTGTTAGGGTCCTTGATATTCGCCAAAGCATTGCTGGTGCCAGTCTTGTCCTCCTTCTTCAGGTTCTTGCCGACGGGTGCATATTGACCGGGGATATGCTCTTTGAGGAACGGGCTCAGGGTCTTGCCGACGAGGTCAAATGGCATCTTGACGAGGCCCTTGGAGGGGGTTTCTTCCTCACCCTCGCGGCGGCGATCGCAGTTGTCTCTCGATAGCGGCTGCGAAGAAGCAGAGACGGTGGCAGTAGTGGTAGAGGCAGAGGTAGGGCTCAAGGTCGACACAGAAGCAGGGTCAACAGCAGCAGCAGCAGGTACAGGCACAGACACAGACGTCGAGGGCAGCGAGTCGACAGTGGAAGTCGAGAGAGAGGGCGAAGGCGTAGGTGATGTCGATGTTGACAATGTCAGAGATGTACCGGCAGCTGCACCGGCCGTCGTAGTAGAGGGTTCATAGTGGGCTCGAGACAGGGAGGAGAGAGAAGTCGGCTCCCGGCCAGGCGAGGTTGCCAGGGACTCCATGGGGATAATATGCGGTGAGAAGGCCTATGATCGCACGACGCGGAAGTTTAATTGGAATTGCGGCGACTCATGCGCTGTCAGGCAAAGGCCAGCGATTGCGTGCTCCAGGCTTGGTATTTTGAGACACCACCCTACAAAGTACAAGGACGATGGTCTGACAGCGCCTGCGAGAGCCCGTTGCCGCGTCCAACAGAGGGCCCAGCGCTGGCGAGACGAGGTCCGTGAGCCGCTAGACGAGAGATACGAGCACGTCGAAAGTGTTCGTTCCTCTTCTTCCGGGTGCTGGGGGACAGCGAATGGCGGCTCTGGCCGGTGACGTTGGCGGTGGTGACGATGGTGGAATGTTGGATGGTGGAATTTTCAGAGGCTCGCTCGTCTTCGGCAGTGGTTTGCGTCGGGTCGCGACGACGCAATGCGCTGCTGGCAGGATCGATCGATCGTCCTTGTGTCGTCGTTCGTCCTTCAGGCTGCGCTCACACGACACTTTGGCTGCAGGATGGTCGAGAAGGGGAGTGGGCGAGGCAGGGGCTGGCGGTTGATGCAGTAGTAATAGAGGGCGAGATCGAACCGATATTGGGTTGCACCCCAAAGGTTGCAGAAGTCCGAAGGGCCAGACGGGGAGCAGCTGCTTGGGTGCGATGGCGCCAAAATGGCGTTATCGCGCAGCGTGGGTGGCTCGCTAAAGCTTAACGGGGGATTGCCTATTCAGCACCCCAAAACCGCTATCCAGCACCCCAGGGTACTTTCCTAATGCTGGCGCTGCCACACAACCCAAAGTACCTAGCCGCACGCTGACTCAGCATTTACACCTCAAGTATCAGCACTTTATCTCTGCAAAGAAAGCTCTAAAAGCCATGCAATTTCGCTGAGAAAACCAGGAGTTTTAAAAAAGGATCATACTCTCTATAAGACTGGCTTTCATTTCTTATAAGTTTTCTTTCACAGTCTCTTTTCTTCGTTAAGGAAAAGCATGGAAGTCTGCCTCTATACATGTACATCTTTGTACCTCCCACCAAATTTTGGGGTGCTGGATAGCGGTTTTGGGGTGCTGAATAGGCATTCCCCTTAACGGACGGGGTCTACAGAGGCCTCGCCAGCACTAAGACGCCCTGGAGGGACAGCCCTGCAGGCGCTGAGGCCCTGTGACTGGCCGCTGGTTGCCCCGCCCCGACGACCCGATGGTTGGCAGCAGAGGAATCCTCTTAGTCATACGTGCTCCATCTGCCCCAGACACTTTGACAGCGAAAAACACAAAAACGCGATCCCATTTTTTTTTTCTTCCTTTGCTCTCTAGCCTCTGCCTCGACCTTATTTTTTCGCCTCTTGACGCTGTCCACGTGCCGGCGAGCAGCCAAGGCGTCGCCACCGAGCCATTGCAAAGGCCTTGCGAACAGCCGTGGCCGAGTCGACAGCATTGGCATTAGCCTGGATCCGACGATCTCGCCATCGATGCCCCGGAGCACAACAGCGCGGCCCCGAGTCCCGAGATTGCCATCCCAGGAGCCGTGACGATCGCAGCGAGGCCCCCGAGAGCCGTCGACAAGGGCCAGTGCTCTGCGACTGCTGGCGGCGAGTGCCGTGGACAGCTGGGCTTTGCCCTTTTCCGGCTGTTGGTGTCTGCAGAACCGTTGTAAGTGCCATCGCTAGAGGATGGTGGCTTTGCTGTGCCGGGTTCTGACCTCAGCTGATGGATCGTTCATGTTGCTACTACTACTACTAGTAATAAATCGACTATTACTACCTGCATTGCCATCTCCATGGAGTCGCACCTTGATGAGCAAACAAAGTCCCTGTATCACCGAACACACCAATGCCCCCGTCGGGTTACCGATGCACCCTGGCACTGCAACTGACATCTTGGCATCATCTCAGCTTACGCTTGTGCCTGAGCCTGCGAGTATCCCGCACACCAGCTTCCCTGAGCAGGCATGTTGCATCCAACGCCATGGACTGGCTGCCCTCAAACCTGCAGAATCAGCTCGAACGCGACTCACCCCAGTGCACTTTTGCGCCTTGACCGTCCAATCTATTAAACTGGGACCCTCGCAACTTGCTGCCCATGGGGTTTCGATTGGCGATCGCTGCCAGCCGACTGCGGTCTAGCTGCTCTGGCAATCTGGCTCAGGGACACGCTTCGGCTGCCCACTGGCACCGCCGGGATGGCGCAATTCTCACCAACGAAGGCGTTTCGATCCCTCGCCGCACATCCGTTGGCTCAACGCAGCCCGCCGCCCGAGTCACTTTCTGTTAATCAAAAAAGATGCAAAAGAGGCCCATTGGCCCCTGATCCCCCTTTTCTTTTCCTCAGCAGCCTGGATGCTGATTTATATTGGGCGCCTGTCACACATGCATGCGCAGTGACATGACGAGGCTCTTCTCGGCCCCTTGTCACCCTGATGAGTCTGGACTCACGACATCATCCTACTTCGACATGCATGCGTCAGCAATCTTCTGAGTCAATATCATCAACCTCATACTTGACACACGCTACTCTGCTATGGATGTCGTGTTACACATCTTCTGATCAGCATCATGCCGTCTCTTGCGCTGCTATTGCTCAGTCGACGAGACAGTCATGCAGTGCGACATCATGGCTCGAAGTTGTCACTGGACCACTTGATGGCGACATGGACGACTCGCCTGGAATTACAAATCGAGCTTCGCACAGGAAACGAGACAAAAGTCGCCGAGGAGCCCGCTACGGAACTGACTTCAGGCTCTACAGCTTAGCATGCTGGGCTGCGATTTATCCCTTTGCCTTCGGGCCGTAACGATCGTATCGGATGACGATAAGCCAGCCTGTCACAAGGTGGTTGCCTCCCGCAACATCCGCCGAGATTTCCAAAAGGGCGGCTTCTAGTGAGCCTCGGAGTCGCACATGTTTAACAACGTACTCGCACAGAATCGTGCTCGTGCCAGGCTGCATGTCTGAGGCATGCCTCGATGTGTTGCCCACCTCGTATGATGCAGTGGGCATCGGCAGCAGAGCTTGTGCAACACATGTTCGAGTTGTTGTGGTCTGGCCCGGCGTTCTCCTCATTTTGGCTGCCTTTGAGCAATCAGCTCATGGTATCTTTTGCTTTCCCTGACAAGTAAGACTGATGCCCAATGTGACGCAAGTGAAAGTAGTTTGTACCCATACTTGTATACTGTCGGGGGTTATTGATGGCTATCCTCGAGGGAAGCCATCTGCATGTTCTGAGCCACCTCGTTCATATCTAGTAGGCCAACTATGTGTAGAGACTGCAGCTCGTCAGTAGAAGTTTAAGCCTCTGAAGATTTGTATTCCACAAGGCTTGAATCCGATTTGAGCGCCTCGATCTCGCCTTTTGAGATATCTCCTGTCGGGTCTTACTACTCTGCCGGGTGCATCAGTCCTGTTGTCTGGCTTGGTGTAGCAAATGTGCCGTTTTGAAAGGGGGTCACAGACTGGACTTGGTTCCTCGGATGCCCAATTTCGCTCTGAATGTGACTCCAGGATTGGAAATCCGACGACAAGTCGCTGCTGTGTAGCTTTCGAGACTCTGAATGATGCATCTATCATGTCGAACGCCCCCCTTCAGATGCCGTGTACTGTGAAGGGCTTGCCTCGATGCATCCGGATAGGTGGCTCAGATCAGCATTAGCTGCCAGTTATGGATTAATCAATTGCCATAAGAGGTATACAATACTGGACCTATCCTTTGTAGGTTTCTAGAAAGCCGAAATCAGTCTGCTGTGTCATTTCTCTTGAAGATTATGAGCTACCTACATGTATACAGCTAATGTCATTCTTTCCCTGCCTTCTACACCCTGTATGTGCTGTCTTCAGTCAACATACTCCCGTGATACGCACCGGCCCGTCACAGAGGGTGAGTCGTCTGAAGTCTACTAAATTCTTTTGGTGTATGCTAGCCATGGACGTGTCGTCGAGTCCCCTGAGTCTGATGAGGATTGCGAATGTCTTAAGGCTTGAGCAGACTTCATACATATCTTACAACTCCTCTAATTACTGTCTTGGTATACATGTTTTCCTCTTCATAACCAACAAGCGGCACTTGAACAGATCAGGATAGCAGCGAGCAGTAGCATACTAGCCAATTCGTGTGTTGAAGTGCCCTGATTATGCCGCCCAACAAAGACCGATGACAGTACCCGACCAAAGCGTATCAGAGCATGGAAACAAACCTTGGCTTAAACGGAATCGCGTCAATTGGGCTGGCTTGGGGGCATCTTTAATCGACAGTAGCTGCTTTTCTATTATCATAGAGTGCGAAAAGTGTCCGGAATGACCGGATGCTGCCCTTGATGCAACACCGGCCTTCAGTGCCAGGTCTCAATATCTCTTCCCATTCTATCTTATGAGGCAAGACATTACGAAACAACCGCCCATTCTCGGCATGGCGATCACAGCCTCACACACGCAGGTTGCTCAGCTGATGAACACTTCTCCGAATACCCTGCAAACAATGGAAACATGAGGCAGCATATCAATAGCGTCGTCTCCCAACAGTTCTCTTCTACTACACCATACCTATGAAGCTTAATTTAAGCTTACCTTTTTACCGTTTGGCCATGGCTGCGAAAGTGGCTTGCAATAGTTGGAAAGCTTCAAGCCGAGTTTGAGGCTCCTAGCTTCTCACGGCCTCTTCCTTTTGATACTTACTCTTCAATGCCTCCGAGAAGCCTTAAAGTCTCTTTTGTTGAGTCCAAGCCGTGGTCTTGTAAGGCTTTCCAGCTTGATGCTGTTGGGCAATCTGCCAAGTATAAAGAGCCGGGCATCGCCCCTTCTCAAACATGATCCCTTTCCGAAATCTCGAATCATTCAAGTCTCCAAGCCAGTGAACTCATAAACACACGTACACCATGAGTTCACTCCCCGAAGACATCGGCGTCAGGGATTACCTGGCAGCCCGCTTCTTCCCCGGCCTCGCTCCAGCAGACGAGGCCACAGCCACGGAGAGCCGCCGCTCGCCGTCCGGGAGCCCAGAGCCACAGCTCCCCGCCTACGACGACGACAGGCCGCCTCCCAAGTACAGGACCATGGAGGAGCTGGCCCTGGAGGACGAGGAGGAGGAGCGCAGGACGATTGCGCAGCAGAAGCGAGTGCTGCTCGTTCGTCTTCTGTCGTTTTTGTTTTGCGTCTCGATCGTCGTGCTGGTTGTCGCCGTGGCGATCGTGCAGGCGAATCGGACGAGGAAGAGGAAGGAGATGGAGTTGGAGTACCAGCAGGAGTGAGTACTTGCTTTTCCTGCTTTACATACCTTATGAGATGGCGAGGGATGAGTTACTGACTGTTGTGATCAGGGTCAACGAGACCAGCTCGGGGCTCAGGGGTCCGGCAGTTGATGAAGGCCTGGTCGTCTCCTTGACGGCGATAGTGTTTGCGCGTGCGTCGACTGGAAACGCAACAGCAGTTCCATTTACTGCTTAGATGGAACGCGCCACCTACCACGAGGCTGAGCATCGACACGGAGCTCCTCACATACATGTACACACATCTGCCACACTATACCCCGTGGGATTGCGATCTGAGAGGCATCCCGGCACCTGATACCCCATTTAGACTGTTTGTTAGTTCTGTCTGCTATTTGAATTGACTCATCTGATGATGTGTTATTATCTTGTTCGTCCCTCTCGTAGATGTCATGCCCATTTCAGTGCCTCGGTGATATATCAAGATCGCGTTCACATGGACGGCATTGACCGTGAAGTTGGCCACTGGAGTGCACTTGCCTTCATTGTCGTCAAATCTCTTGTGTTGCAGCCAATCAGTAGCCACGAGTCTCGTGACGCTCTCAAGTCAAAGGCCAACTTCTACCCGCCTGAGTCATCTCATCAAACCTGATCAACACCATCTCGATATTCGAATGCTGCCATGTCACCACAAGCGGCTGATTGCTCACAGCATAGATGCAGCGCTATTACGTCCATTCCAGTCGATGTATCATACGGCGATATCTGAAGCGATTCATGATGGTTGCATGCATGCTTGCACGCATAGAGCGCACAGCGCTAGAAGAGTTGCGTGCAGATCCCCTCATATCGCCAGAGGCTTCTCATTCGTCCAGCCTTGCAGCGTACCCAGTCAGAGTCTGGCAGCTCAAAGGGGAATAGCTGGCCATCGACAAAGAACCAGCCCAACCACCATCTTCAGCCATGCGTCTGCTCTACACAAAAGAGCTGGAGACGGGGGGCTTTGAGCTGCACGAGTTTGGCGAGCAAGACGTCCCGCCGTACGCCATCCTCTCGCACACCTGGGGCGATGGCGAGGTCACTTTCCAGGACATGACCCTCGGGCGATTTGCAGACAAGAAGGGCTACGCCAAGATCAAAGGCTGCTGCTCCCTCGCAAGGGCAAACGGATACGACTATGCCTGGGTGGATACGTGTTGCATCGACAAGACGAGCAGCGCGGAGCTGTCTGAAGCAATCAACTCCATGTACCAGTGGTACGGAGAGGCTGAAGTGTGCTACGGCTACCTGGCAGACGTGACGTCCGCGGTTGGTTTCGCAGAGAGCAGATGGTTCACCAGAGGATGGACTCTTCAAGAGTTGATTGCTCCCCAGGAGATGATCTTTCTCGACGAGGCATGGAACAAGCTGGGCACCAGGGAGACTCTGAAGCAGGCGATTTCCAAACGCACCGGCATTCCCTTGAGCGTGCTCTCTGGCTCCGACCTCAATGGGATGAGTATTGCGCAGAAAATGTCGTGGGCCGCTTCGAGGAAGACATCGCGATCCGAAGACCGAGCCTACTGTCTCATGGGCATCTTTGGCATCAACATGCCGCTGCTGTACGGCGAAGGCGAAAGAGCCTTCATGAGGCTCCAGGAAGAAATCATGAAGGTGACGGATGACGACAGCATCTTTGCCTGGAGATCGGACGGCCAGAACCACGGCTCACTTTTGACAACCTCTCCGGACGCATTCGAACATTCCGGGAACATTGTCCGTGTGCGCACAGCCTGGTTTCCTGACAGCAAGCCTTGGACTGTGAGCAACAAAGGGATCCGCCTGGAGCTATCCTATATGGGAGTCGGGCACCAAGGATTGGGGCTCGGCATACTTCACTGTGCAGAGCGCAAGACAAAGGGCAACACCTTCATTGCCATATACCTCAAAGACGTGTCCCTCACGATGGAGCACTTTGCCCGGGTCGGGTGCGACAGGTTCGAGCTGTTCAATCTCATGCCATTTCGGACAAGCCAGCGCCCCCAAAGATGGCTCAATGTCCAGCAGCACCGGCCTGCAGCGATTCGAGCACGGAATCGCCCCCACATCATCGGAAAACCACCGCCCTCGCGAGATGATCCCGACTGGGGATTATTTGACTCGACGATTGATTTCACCAATGGTTCGTCGTCAACTTCACTCGAGAAATGGGACGACAGTCTGCCTCCTTCGCTCATTCACATGGCAAAGGAAGGCCGTGTAGAGGAGACGAAATGGCTGCTTGCAAAACGCACCACTAAGCCCGATCAGAGAGATGGAAAGGGGCGAACTGCTCTTTCTCATGCAGCAGGCAACGGCCACACCAAGATTGCATGGCTGCTCCTGATGCGGCGTGATGTCAAACCTGACGACAAAGATGCAAAGGGGAGGACGCCTCTGCACCACGCGGCTAGAGAGGGGCATGCTGAAGTCGTCTGGCTGCTGCTTACCCGCGGCGACGTTGACATTCATTCCAAGGACAATGTAGGACGGACGCCGCTCTTTTATGCCGCAGCAAACGGGCGCAAGACTGTTATATCCATGCTTCTAGCCCGTGGGGACTCGCAACATCATCTGAGAGATGACAAGGGACGGACGCCTCTGTCGTATGCGTCAGAGGGCGGGCACGAGACGGCTGTCGAGATGTTTTTGGACCGGAGTGACATGGAGACCGACTCGCGGGACAAAGATGGGCAGACGCCGCTCAGCCTGGCTGCCAGGAATGGCCATTTGGCCGTCACCTACATGTTGATTGAGCAGGGAGCCGACGTCGATTCGCAGGATAACTACGGCCAGACGCCGCTACGGTGGGCAACCCAGAATGGCCATGCGAGGATTGTCCAGCGGCTTCTCGGGGACGGAGCCAACATGGAAATAGAAGGGCAGATGGACGGCTGCACGCCCCTTTTGGCTGCGATTCACCTGGGAAGAGAAGAGATTTTCCAGCTGCTCCTAGATAAGGGGGCCAATATAGAAGCGACAGAAAGAGGCGGTCTGACGCCGCTGCTCGTCGCTGCCAGCGAGGGCCGTGAGGCCATGGTCGCGGCTCTACTTGCCAAGGGAGCCGCCATTGATGTGAAAGCCGGTGGCGGTTCGACGGCGCTGGCTTTGGCATCTGCTAGAGGGCACGTCAGCATCATGAGGCTGCTGCTCGACAACGGAGCCACGATCGATGCCGAGGATGCAGACGGCGTTACGCCACTGCATCGGGCGATTATGGAGAAGGGCAATGACGCCGCCGTGGAGTTGCTGCTCGCAAGGGGAGCCAACCCTAGAAGTTCCAAAGTAGTCGCCTTGGGGAGTGATTCTACGACTGAGCAGCGTGATAGATTTAGGGAGTTTGTTGCGAAGAACTCGCGTGGGCTGACAGGGTAGGAGACAAGAACGCCTAATGCTTCTCCGTGTCGGTGTCGTGCTTGGGATACCATGCCTAAATATAGCTTGGTCCTTGCCGTTGGCTTTCTCTTGTCCACCAGAACGAACGCTATACTCGCTGATGTGGCATGCTAGTTCTTGCATGAAAGAGTACTCATCGTCTACCATAGAAACGTTTCGGTCTGATATGACAATCCGTCAAGCTCCCTCGTTGATACTTCTCATCTAGTGGCATTGGCAAGGGTGGGCTCGTTCCACCACGGAGAAAGGGAATCTCTACCTTGTGCCATGACGATGCCATGGAGGGGAAGTGAGTTCCTAGGGAAGGAAAACGATCACTTATAGTTGACTAACATGCCGAAGAAGACACGCACTTTTACAGCCCGCATACTTGATCTAGTCGACATGATGTATAGAGTGAAGCACTGTCTCCCACACTTATAATCTGGGACTTCTAGCCTAGATATTAAGGAGTCCATGGTATTCCCTCCAGCCACTTACACGCGTGCTTTGACACATCAGCATTGCATAACTCGTACCCCATCATATCTCAAGCAATCCATACTAGTACCATACAAGTACACAAGCACACAACCCGCTCCATTGCTTACAACGTTGCCTACAGAGTACCACATACAGTTAACACCTCCCCCCTGCCCATCCAAGCAGCACAACCAACCAATCACAGCCCCCTGCTACTCTACCTTACATACCTGCTTGCCTACTTTAGGCAGAATGACAACAACTTCGCATAACTTCGTATATAAAGCGAAATAAACGAGCTGACACGCAGTGAAGTAGCTCAAACAAACTTTGGTTGGCATATGGCCGATTTGCCCTGGTTGCATTGCTCCCTTCACGGGGAAAGCCTTCACTTTTTTTGCTTCTTTGTTCGAATTGCGTTTGTGTTCTGTAATTCTTTCATTTCTTTTTCGAGTATCTTGTCTTTTTTTTTTTTTTTTCCCTTGCTCTTCCGCTTGATATTGGTAGTAATCCTCTCTCTCTTCTGTTTACTTCTCTCCCTCTTTCTCTTTCTCGTTTCCCTTTATTCATCAAGCAGGATGTATTACTCAGCATACATAAGAAAGCTCAGTAGTGGTAGTAAGAATTGCCATATATATAAAGCGAAATAAAGGGGGGGTTCCATCAGTGAAGTAGCTCAAAATCAGACCATGTCTTGAATCTTTGCTCCCCTCTTTGGGGTGAGCCTTCACTTTTTGAGTTGGTTTGTGGTTCGAGTCTTGCTCGGGGCACCTTTTTTCTTTTTTAATTCATTCAGCGTCTTATCCTTCTTTGATATTGTTGATTTGTGTTTGAGTTGGATGTTTGGTAGTCTTGGTAGGGGTGTGGTGTATTGCAGTTGTTGGTGATGGATTCAAATCTATGACCAGCGTATATATTCAATCTCGTCCATCACTGCATGCCTCATCTACTTCCTCAAAATCGACAAGTAGAATATTCTCACTTCCAATTAAGGCGTACATGCGTACTGCCCGTAACATCTCCCATGTTCACCTTCACCTCTCGCACAAAGAACGGCAGCCTCCAATTCTCCACCCCCGCAACACTTTCTCGGTATGACTCACCCCACCCTCAACCACCACACTCAGCCCCAACCAATCACCAGTTCTCTCACCACAACCCAACATCAATCCCATGTATAAACTGAAATATACAAGCTCAATATCAGTGAAGTAGCTTGGTTTAACTCACAAAGCAACGCTCTAGTTACCTACCGCTCCCCTCCAGGAGCCTTCACTTTTTGCTCTTCTGCTCTTGTGTTCGAATCCCCTCCCTGTAGCGCCTTGTTTTGTCCTTTTTTTGCCTGTCTTGTCATGTGAGGTCTCTCCTCTGGGCTATACTACCTTGGATTGTTTTGCACAGGCACGGCTTGAGCTTCTTTATTCACCTTGTTCATGTATATGACAAATGGAACCTCTCTTCCCTATCTTCTTCCCTTGGAAGAAGGATATTGTCATGTCTTTTTCATAGATACCTTATGTTGATGATGAAGGAGAAACATTAGCATGATGTAAGAACGAACAATTCGCTTGAGCTAGACTTACAAAAACATCTTACCACGACGCTCAGTATCTACGATGCTTAACCTTACTTACACACATATGATAGCAAAGCACAGCAGCAATCACTCACATTTACAAGTATCAAACCATCACCGTCACACTAAACAACTTTCGCAGTCATTTTTATTTCCCAACCGCTCTACCTATACCTCCCACCCATCATATCCCATTCCCCCATTCCCCATACCCATCCCCTCCTGTTAAAGAACCAAGGATCAAGATAGAAATATTGTGGCCGAGCCTCTTTTTTTTTCTTTTTTTTCGAATTGTTTCTTTTTTAAAAAGTCATTTCGCATAGATATATATACACATTCACTCATACTATGTTCAAACGTGCCCTCTCCGTGCTGCTCGCGACAAGGACAGTCCGAGTCACCACCACCACCACCGTCCTCTTTGGACCGCATCCCGCCAGCGGTAGAGGTGCACTCACGACATCCTCCTCATCATCCACCACCACCTCCTCCCCCTCCTCGCCGCCCCTCTATGACGTCTCAAAGGAAGCGACGGTGCCGCAAAACGTGTTGCGGTTGTCCCTGTCAAAGACGGCGCCCTGGCCGTTGAGCGTAATCATGTTGATGCTGGCCTTGGTGCTGATGCCAAAGAAGTGCACCTGCGAGTTGCGCACGTCAATCATGTTGTCCTGGCAGTTGTTGGCGTTGACGCAAGTGGTGCCGTCGTAGTTGTTGAAGAAGCTGTACATGCCGGCGCCGTAGATGAGCGTGTTGGTCGAGTTGACGACGCGGATGCCGTACGTGCGGGCGCAGATGGCGTCGGTGCAGCTGCTCCAGTCGGGGTCGGCGTACTTGGCCTGGCTGGTGTAGGGCACGCGCGCGTCGGGGTTGCCCTGCATGTAGGCCGTCTCCGTCTGCAGGATGTTGCTGTAGACGTTCTGGGCGTTGTTGAAGGCGTAGTTGTACAGCACGCTGTGCTCCGAGGCGGTTCCCCACAGCCAGGTGCCCTTGGTGCTCTCGACGAGCAGGCCGCGGCCGTTGTAGATGTTGATCTGGTTGTGGTCCGCGAGGTCGAGCTCGTGGTCAGACACCCACAGCCACGTGTTCTCCATGTAGATGGAGCCCGAGGTGGTGACGTGCACCAGCAGGAAGGCGCCGAAGCACGAGGGGTTGGGCGTCGTGGTCACGGTGGGCGTCTTGACGCAGCGGTCAGACTGCATCTGCGTGCCGGCAGTGCCGCCGATGCGGAAGTGCACGTCCCAGAGACCGGCGCCGGCCTGGGCAGCGCCGGCGACGTTCCACTCCATGATGATGGCACCGGGCTGGGGGCCGAGCGTCTCGAAGATGAGGTCCTGGATCTCGACGGTGCCGACATCGCCGGGCTGGCCAACCTGCCAGACGGGCAGCGGGTTGTTCTGGTCCTTGAACTTGGAGCCGCCGACCATGATGAGGGGCCAGATCTCGCCGACAATCTTGATGTTCGGGGGGACCTTGACGGTGTCGGTGATGACGTAGGCGCCGTGGTCGAAGTAGACAATCTGGCCCGAGGTGACGCTGTTGAAGACGGCCTGGATGGCGGCCGTGTCGTCGGTGCTTCCGTCGCCCTTGGCGCCGCGAGACTTGACGGACACGAAGCTGCTGGCGGGCACCGTCTCGTACTGGGGTCGCTGGTGAGTCGCGAACTTGCCACCAGACGTAAGCGCGGCAGGCTTGCTGACGGCGGCGCGGGTGCCCTGGACGGCTTGTCCGTTGGAGTTGGTGTAGGCGCGGCCCTGGGACCACGAGGCAATGTTGGCGTTTCCGCCCAGGATGGTCGCGCCCGACTTGGCGTTCTTGACCATGACGGGCGTGTTGTTGGTGGCATCGACGTTGTCCAGGATGAGCGTGCCGGCGGTGCCGTTCTGGCTGGGGCTGTAGTTGGTGAGCACGCCGACCTTGACGTTGTTGAGCTTGCTGTCGGCGAGCAGGATGGAGCCGACCTGCTGGTTGCCGCTGCCGTCTACGGCGCTCATGTCGATGCCGACGTTGGCGTTGTTGATGGTGAGGCCGTGGAAGCTCCACAGCCAGTTCCAGTTCATGTAGACGGCGGTCTGGCAGCCGTTGAAGACCAGGTTGCGGCTGGTGAACTGCTGGTTGCCGATCCAGATACCCAGGCCGCCACCGGTGAAGGTGAGGTCGCTCAGCCAGCCTCCGGAGCCGTCCTCGCCCCAGATGCCCTGCTGCTTGTTGTTGGTGGACGTGTCGCTGCTCATGATGAACTGGACGTTCTGGATCGACGTGGCCTGGGCAACACGCCAGCGAATACCAGTGCCGGTGTTGATGGGTTGTCCGGTAACGTCAATCTTGAAGTTGCGAATCTGGCGGAAGAAGTTGTTGGTGGCGCCATACCAGCCAGGGTTGGAGTCGATGACGGCAATACCGGTGAAGTTGGCGGTGGACTTGAGCGTAGGCAGGTTGGTGGCATCACCAATCAGGTGGGTGTAGTAGTACAGGAGAATGGGCGAAGAGACGAGATAGGTACCAGGGGGGAAGTAGACGATGGCCGGAGTGGTGGTCTGGGAATCGCAGCCGTTACCACATCGGTTTCCGGCGCTGATGGCAGCATTGATAGCCGCGGTATCATCAGTCACGCCGTCACCCTTGGCGCCGTAGGTCTGGACGTTGCGGTAGATCTGGTAGCCAGAGCCGGAGGCGGCGTAGGGGACGGTGCCCTGGCGAGCAATGTTGGGGAGCCACCAGCTCGTCGCGGCGGCCGCGGCCTTTTCCTCAGCGGCCGGAGCCGGTGCGGCCATGCCCGGAGCTGCGAACAGGCGCAGGGCCAGCAGACCGGCCGTCAAGATGGTTGACAGACCCATCGTGACCAGGAAACAGTTGAATACAGGTTCTCTGCGGTTCGGGTTTCGAGGAGCGTTATGTATAGGCTAACAAGAGAGAAGAAACAGGAGTCAGCGGTTTGTCCAAGTTATTGTCCGGCCATGAGCCTTTTGTATATAAAGGCACAATGGTGAGTGATGAGATGTTGAAGGTTGTCGGGGAATGGGCGGTTGATAGAGAGACAGGGGGGAAGGGGACTCTATCAGACGGGCAAGCCTGAGAGAACTGGACTGACTCTGAATGCCCTCTCTCCCTCGCAAGCTTCAATACTGAGGCTTTGCTACTGGCGGAGGGTGCGCAGAGGAGCTGTCGATGCGCAGAGAGGCAAGTGCCGGTGATGGGAGGAAGTGCTGGTGAGAGGATTGTGAAAAGTGAGGCCGGGCAGAGCCCTTTAATAGGCACGGGGCAGTGAATGAGGAAAAGCTTGACAGCAGAAGCGGCAATAGAAGGTTCAAGGGATTCTGATGATGATGCATGGCTTCATCTCATGCTCGCCGCTGGGCGTGTTGAATCGACGCCCCCCCGGTGCCTTGGATGCCCCAACCCCCCACCATCACGCGCCGATTGCTCTTGGGATGAGACCGAGATGGAGGGTGAAGCCAAGGCGAGAAGAGGTTATGCAGCTTCTTCTTTGGGCCCAAGCGCTGCAGAACAATCGGCCGCCGTGACGAGGGTCATGAGGCACCCGCACACACACGCGGGGAGCTGCGCACACAGATGCTCCGGCAAACCGCACATCGTCTGCATCCAACAGAAACTTTCCTGGAGTTGCTCGGCCCGTAGAAATCGACGGACCAGGGAGACCATGCAGCTCTCCACAGATGACACTTTTTGCACGCATGCAGCGATGCAGTGACTTACCCACGCCAAAACGGTTTATTGTAGTAGTAGTGCCCTATCTGTGAGGGACGTGGGCGTGATGCCGGGGCACTTGCTCTTCGGAATACTAGTACTGGTGAAGCGGTTGCTGGATCTTGTTTTGCTGTTTGTATGCCAGGGGGGCGACGGGCCGAAAAAGGGGTGGGCCAGTTGGAGGCGAGTCGAGAAGGTGATTCGATGCGTGAGCAGATATGTAGAGGGACGAAACAATGGTGTTCAGGGCATTGATCGGTTTGATGAATGAATGACGCAGAGAAAATGACCGTCGCAAAGAGAATGGAGACAGGAGGAATAGCTTTTATTCCAGGAAGCGTTGGATCAGTCGCCACTGAAAGGAGAGGAGGGCTTCACTTTGTTGAGGGAATCACAGGCGGAACACGTATTGACAAGAGAGAGAGAACCGAGACGAAAGAAGGCTAGTTAAAAGGAAAACTCACCCTGTACCGCGCCGCCGTGCCAAAAATAGGCCAAGAGAGAAGGGCCATTGTGGGAGCCGCAAAGCTTCTTGTGCTGTGTGTTGTGAGGATCGCCTCCCTTTTCCTGGCTCCCCTATGCGCGTTTCGTACTGGTACGCCGCGACGGCGGCAGTTGGCTGTGGCTTTGGCACGCCCAGCAGCCCAAGTCTCGCAGGAGCGTATCTAAGGTTCAGAGACACGCTGGACAGGTGTTAGCGCGTGCGTGGTGATGCTACAAAAGCTCCGCGTCTGGGTAGGTAAAGTATTGTAGGGAGGCTTTTCGCGACGCTGCGGCATTGAGCCTGGTCCTGAGCAGGCGTCCAGCAATCCAAGCAATAGAGTAGCCGCCACATCTGGGCGGGGGACCCACGGCTGGGATTCCAGGAACGTCATGATGCCATTGGCTGCTGCGCGATGTTTCAGACGGGCTGGACCAGGGTGTCGACCAGGATGTCCCGCGTTCTCTCGTCCAGTGCCAGCCAGGGGCCGCGCTTCCTCTGCCGGCTGGGCTGGGGATGCATCAACGACAGCCTCTGGAGCACGTCGGCCGCCGTCCATCTGTCACTCGGCCCTGCTGCGAGCGAGCGGGCGACAGAGACTGGAGGCAGCAGAAAGGCGCCGAGCCGAGAGCGCGCGCCATGCATGAAACGACGAGACTCCCCGAATGAGCCAGCGGCTGGCCTGTTCTGCGCTGCCAGTGCATGTGCTCTGTGGTCCGGCTCAACAATACGAAAACGAGCGGAAGGCAATGAATGGTGGCTCGGTGACGGCAGCGCAGAGATGGCTGTGATGATGCGTCTGGGGAGGCGTAGAGCGTTTTGCCTCGTGGTGGATTGGGCGCATCATGAGGCCATATCGAGCAGCTTTTTGGCTTTGGCTTTAGCTTTTGCCTCTGCTTTGGCCTTGGCTTGGCTACCCCCTTCAGCTGCTGCGATTGGGTGAGGTGGCTCGGACGCCAAAGGACTGACTTTTTCGAGGGCGTGCTGATCAGCGATCGCAGAGATAAGGTGAGGCGTAGCGAGCAGGAAAGGGAAGCGTCTCTGCCGCTCCAATCCTCGCATCGATCACGGACGTCTTGAGGCGGACAGGAAGTTCGAGCAGCTGCCCTCCACGGCCCGATCGGGAGATGGCCAGCAGGGCTAGAGCTTAGCGCCCCCTGCGCTGGAATTGCGGCCTCATGCCCCTGTTCTAGCCTCTCCGCTAGCACGGCGGTCCACTGAAGCATTTAGCACCAGCAGACGTCGGCGGTACTCCGTGCTTGGTACCGCTCCGTGCTGGTTACGACCCAGCCAGGGCAAAAGCTCCGTGATCTGGGGTACCGCCAACTGCCAGGTACTCCGCCCTAGCCGAGGCGAGCCGCGCTGCGATTGGCCACGTCCGGACCCATGCAAGGTAAAGCCCAGAACCTTGAACTTCATGAGTCTACTCTATGGTGCTCCGAAGAAACAAACGCCCGTTTTAGCTCCGTTTGCGACTGTCCACTATCAGACCACAGACGTGATCAGGCGGTGGACGACTTCATCTTGTTTGCCTTGATTGTTTCCATGAGACGGGTCCCTGTGGCTGCCTGTTTCAAGGCTGCGAGCGACTGGAAGCACGGCATAGCGTGTGGCAGCCTCAGCAGACCGCACCAAGACCTGCTCGCACATGTGACGGTCCATCACCCTGACTGAATGTCTTCAGATACCAGACCACAGTATCCAGCACTTGGCAGTTGAGCAGCTGCCTAACTTGCTCATTGCCGTCGCTTTGGAGATAACGATGGCTCTACCGTTACTTTGTACTCCATAAACTGACAGGCTGATGAAGCAAGACAAAAGCATCGGCTGCTGGGCTGCCCACTCTCCATTGCTCAAATCGAGACGCACAGCGAAGATCGCAATTTGACAACCCTAAGCAGTACTACTCAACGACATCTGCAGCCTCCACGCTGCCTGTGGCGTAATGCGCGCACTTGCACAGAGTCGGCCCAATGCCCTGGATCGACCGTTTACCGCTGTAAGGCTGCAGGCGGCGGTCACACAAACAGTCTCGTGCGAGCACGGCGGGCTGTCACCTGAGGTGACACCTCCGTCTCAGTCCCTTTGCCACGGAATCTCAAGACGGAAGATGAATCGGGCTGGCAACACAAGTACGTCAATATTACCTGCATCGACTTGGCGTGGTCTGCCTGGTGACGGCCTGTCTGATCCAGCCAGGCAGACGACGGCAAACACCCGGCAAGAGACATACGGCAGAGAACACGCAAACGCAGCAGACCCAGACAACGTGGGCAGAACGGCGAGATGATTGCTTGTGAGGAAAACCCCACGCCGACGAAACGCACGGGATCACTGGACCGTCCCAAATAGACAACCGACCGGGGCAGTGACTGGCTGGCAAGTCATGGAGCCTGTCCTTGCAACCCCGATGCCACCAATCAGGCTCCGGCTGTTCACGAGCCCCCTGTCGACCCTTTCATCCAGCTTTTACCCGTCCTTCCCTCAACACCACGGCCATGGGTCGAAAACGGCAGCTAGTGCCATGAGAGACGGCACAGCTATGCTAGCTGCTTGAAAAGGAAATGTTCTGGCTGCCGTGTCCCGGCTGGCAGCCCCCTTTCTCTCGCCCCTTTCCAGGCCAGTCTGTTCTGCCCTCTGCATAACCACCATGACTACTATCTCTCTTGCCTCTCACCCTCTTCAGCTCGCTCGCCACCAGAATCAATAGCTCGTCTCCGTGATGCACAGCAACAACCTTTCTCCCCCATCCCCCATCTCCTGGCCCAGTCCCATGCCCCAGCCACGTCATCCACCATGCAACTGCACCCCAGAAACTGCCCGGAGAGAAGCCGGCCAGGCCTGCCCAGATGCCTCCAGATGCCGCAAGTCCCAAGAGATGCCGGCTGGAACTCGTGCCCTAGCCCTCGCCCGCACCCCCGACCGGAGATGGCCAGGGGTTCCCCGCACCGAACGGCAATAGGCAATAGGCTTTCAGGATGCCGCGCTTCCCCGACCTCATCTGACAAGTCGGCCGCACTTGGAGCAGCCAAAATGCAGTGGAAGGGTTGGCGGTGCGGAGGAGGAGAGCAATAGTCTTTCACCAGCTGCAGCGTCTACTAGGGCTTTTCAGAATACTAGTAGCCCGATCCACGACTTTACATGCAGTGGCTTGAGGTACGTCTATCGAATATCACTCGAAAACTGACAAATCCTACAGCATCAGCACCATGATGCCCATCCCTGACGCCACATCCTCCGCCAGCTCACCGCCCAACGCCCGGAAGGGGCCGGCCCTTGCTGCCCTGTCAAGCCTCTTTTCCCCTTCTCACTTTTAGAAATAGAAGGTTATTCAGCACGCTTACAGCTCACTCCCGTCGATATCCAGGGTAGGACGGGTACTATTCCGTCTTTTGCGGCTGAGAAGCCACGGGATGCAGTATCAGCATAGCCAAGGCCTCCTCGTCCTACTAAAGGGCCGAGCTGGAGCATTGGCACGGAGGCTGTGCGATGATGTCGTTTTGCCGTGAGTGGGCTTTTTGCATCTGGAATCGTCGAGGTAGCACTCGTTCGGGGAGATGCTCCCGATGGCTGTCTTGCTGTGAGGTCAGTTGTCGTGGGGTGAAGAAGTTTCTCAGCGTCGTATCTCGTTCCCTCCACGATGTCCGTTTTCCCTCTACCGTAACGTTTGATGCCCTCATCATCATCAGGTATGAGAAAGATGAGCACATATAGAACAGTACCTTTCCGCGTAAACCGTTTGCACAACCAACAAGGACAACCACAGACCACATGCACCCCAGCCAGCCACCCCCAGAATCTCACAACGGACTTGCTGCATACCCCATCAAAACCCCACACAAACTATTCATCCAGCCAACTCTCGCTTTTCAAGCATCAAGAGAAAAATCCCCGCAAAACTAAGAAAAGAACTCGGCCATACCCGCAATCCACAGAAAAGAACATGGCAAACACGCACACCCCTTCTAACGAACTCCGTTCTCCGAACCACCACGTCTTCCAAGCATGCGAGATTATCCATTAGGGTGTGTACAACGCCAGATTCAACGGAACACATGCACACTTTCCCCCACACCACGCGGTGCATTCTCGGCTCGTTTCTTCCGCCTTTCGAAACGATAAATCGCGCTTAGACTAAGAAATACTATATCAAACACTAGCTGGGCAGGAACGTAAGGAAGTAGGAAGCTGAAGGTATGTGATCGTTACTCTAACGAGTTGTAACATATAGTCTTCTGTGTGAGGTTGCTCCAAATAGGGTAAAAATCAGTCATCTAGATGGATACTTTGGGCACTGAATACAACATACACATACACCTTTCCCACTTCATAGTTTTGAATCCACGACATGGCTATCTATCCGGCAGAGTACCAGACAGGGAGATGGCTGTCCGGCGGAGCACTATCATTACTTTTTTCGAACTCTACCTATTCAGAAACTCAAGTGGCTCGTCTTTTAACAACGACCAAGTTGTCCAACCTCATGCCGACTATAACGACATAGCTACGATTTGATTCAACGTTAAGACTCTACCTTACCCAGGTAGTGTGTAAACTACGCCGTAGGGTAATACAGTATGGGAAGCAAAAGGGCGAAAGAGGACGGTCAGGTATTCGGAGTAGTAGACAAATAGTGTCAAACTCTCCATGCAACCCAACCCCAATCAGACAAGGAACAAAAAAATCCTTCTTACGCCGATCTCCCATCTTCCACGCACACACTCAACTCACTCACATGCACCCCCCCCCCCCCCCCCCCCTCCTCATTCGCACGAAACCGTCCAGTCTGTTCTTCTCCCCGATATACTACTATGACCAACTAGAGCTGGTTTACCGGGCCAACCCAAGTGATGTTAGTGCCCTGACCATCACAAATCAAATATCACAAAGACAAAGATGATACAGTTCAGGCACAGAAGAAAAAGGTCATCAATTGAATCAAGAAAGAGCAAAAAAACACTATCCATCCCTACCCAGCTCAGGCCTTCCTTTCCATACCATAAAACAAAACCAAGAAAAAAGGAAACAAGACGCAAGGGGGAAAACCACCTTGCCTGGTGCAGAATAGCATATGTAGCTCGTCTATATGTTTAATCTCAAAGCGCCCACTAATCGAATATCGCCCAATCTTTTTGTCCCATTTCCTGAAAAGAAAAAAACCGCGCTCGCTGCCGTTTAAAACAACAATGACAAATGAAAATTCCATAGTTTGCATGTCTATGTCTGTCAAAGAAAACATGTTCCTGCATGGAAAATGACTGAACTGAATAAAGTAGGATGGAAAAAAACAAAAGGTAAATGAGACGCTTGTCCAAAAGCCGTAGTGATAGGTGGCAGGCCTAATGCCAAGCTCAAATGCCAAACAATGCTCAGTCTATCGCATTCGTATGCCTAAAATGGTCTATTCACCGAGTGTGCAACAGATATAAAAAGCCAATCGTAAGGGGGGAAAAAGACAAATCGTAAGATGAGGGCTGAGAGAAGCATTGCCGCCTTTGACTTGCTCGGCTCGCCCCGTCTTCCTGTAGAAACGCAGGAAAGAGATCAGGTTTGTGAAAAGGCCGACAACGTGCGTCATGCCGGTAGCACCGGTTGGCACGTTCGTGAGATGCTGCTCAAGAGGGTCCCACATCCGGGCATGGTCCCCAGCAAGAGTCGGTCCGGATGGCCAGGCTTAGTTCAAAAGATGCCACCGCCCATGCTGGTGTTGGCGCTCTTCAACATGTCAATGCCCTCCACCTCGGCGCCAAAGTCCATGATGAGGATCTTGGGGTCCTGTCCGGTACTGACGATGCGTCGGTAGTCGCTCTTTGCGCTGAGGACCCAGCTGGCATGCCAGCGTGGAAAGTCGAGCAGCTGGCGGCCCGTCTCCATGTCCCAGACCTTGATGTCGGTGTCGTAGCTGCCACTGACCAGTCGCCCGCTCACGCTGTCAATGTGCAGGCTGCGCACCAGGTTCTCGTGCGCGCGCATCTCGCGGACACACTCGCCCGTGTTGGCGTCCCAGATGCGAATCACCTTGTCGTTGCCCGCCGAGGCAACGTACCGCCCGTCCTCGGAGAACTGAGAGCACGCCAGGCCCTTGGTGTGGCCGACGAACTCGCGAATGCATCTTCCCGTGTCAATGTTCCACAGCTTGACGCGGAAGTCGCCAGAGCACGACACAATGGTGTTTCCGCGCATCTGACGGCGTTGACGGGGCCCGTGTGGCCGCGGAGCTGGCGGAGGAGGGCGCCGGTCGCTCGGTCCCAGACACAGATGCTAATGTCCTTGCTGCACGTTACAATATGCTTGTCGTCAAAGGCCAGGTCGAGCACAGCAGCCGTGTGGTGGGTGAGACGACGAATCGGTCGGTAGCCGTTGCGCATGTCGTAGACGATGCACGTGGAGTCCGAGGAACCCGTCACCATGATCTCGTCGTCATACTGCAAGCACAGGATAGATGCTCTGTGGTGGGTCGCAAAGGACACCACCTTTGGCGTGGAGGGCGCGGCCCTGAAGCTGTCGGAGAAGTTGACATAGTGCATCGGGTTGCCTTCGGCATCTTCCAGAAGATTGGGGGCATTGACCACTTCGGGAGGTCCGATGACCAGACGACACTCCAGAGTCTGCATGTCCCAAATTCGGATCGTCTTATCTCTAGAGCCGGAGATGATTTTATACCTAGTAGTCGGATTAGTATCCCAGACTTGGACAAGTAGGTACGGAGGCATGTGAGGGGACTTACTCGTCAAACTGCAGACAGTAGATGCTGTCTGTGTGTCCGTTGAGATACATGGGACGGGCCTTGCCCTCTTTCCACTTCTGAGCGAGCTCGAGCTTGGCGCGGTAGATTTGCTTCCAGTCGTTGGTGGGAACCACCGGAGGGATGCCCAGGCCAGTGCCGGGCTTGACGGGCTCGCTGGTGGCATAGGTGGTGGTCATTTCTCGTAGACACGACTCTCGCCAGATGTGCTGGTTGCGAACCACATCATGCCAGTGCCTGGAGACGACGCTTGCCTTGGCCAGAGCGGCGGCGTCCAGGCAGGCCAGAACGTGAATGGCCAGCTCGGACGGTAGCTGCTTGATGAAATCGATCCTGCTAATGTTGCTATCTTGAGCAGGAATGGATCCGTCAACGCTGACACCCGACCCAGCGAACGGCTCAGTAACGACGATGCCAATTCCGCTCTCACGGTCGTTGCTGTCCTCGCTGGACGATTGCAGCCACTGGGTGTGCATGGCCTGCCTCTGGAAGTACTCGTTCTGGAGTGCCACGGAGGCCTTGGCGGCACCTCCCGTGTTCATGGGGATATATGGGGGCTCGTCTCCCATTGCGGGGATAGGCATATGCGCGTTGGGGCCTTGACGCTGTTCGTCGAGGCCATCATCGGTAGCATGAAAGCCGTAGAAGGATCTCGAGCGGCGAAAGGGCGCGACCTGGCGGAGGCGGGTCCAAGTGTGATGGGCGCTGGTCGGCCTGGCGTGAGGACCGGCCTGGTTGTGGGCATCAGACGGCTCGGCTGTGAGGGATGGTCGGCGATGAACCATGCCCTTGAGGGATAAGGAGGCTCGGCGAATCACCCCCTTGAGAGTGCCGGCAGTGCTCTGAGCACGGCCACGCAGCTTTCGACCGGACAGTTCATGCGTGTCTTCCGAATCGTCGATGGCGACTTCGTTGACCTGTCGCGAAGGCTGCGGATCGTCGTGGGAAAAGGTAGCGTGCTTGTGGTGTCGGAGGAGGTTCGAGAGGCTCAGGCTACGCATGCGCTGGTCATGCGGCGGGTTGGTCGTGGGAGCACCAGCGACGCGAACCCCGGCAGGTGCCCCCATGGTGTATGACTGAAACTGATCCGCCATTGTATATGTTTGAACAAAGCGTGGCTGGAGAAGAGTTGCTTTGTCGTCGTGCAGACAGATGGTACCACTGTTCGAATGAGAGGATGCTGCCGTGGGTCTTCCGGCTCGTGACAGAACGACTAATTGAGGTCGACAAGTGAAATGCAGAATGAGGCTAGACAAGGCAAAGGTGTCGCAAACGGAAGAGGCTCGTCAAGTGAATGCTGATCAACAGGAGGTCAACGCGGAAGAGCCTCGGTGGAGTTTCGTTGTCTTGGTCGGCGAAAGGAGGGACGATGGACTAGTCTCGAGACGGAGAGCTGAAACAGCGGCGGAGCCAAAGAAAGGCAGGCGAAACGAAACAAAGAGAGCGAGACGCCTCCAAAGAGCGGGAAATGGAAATGTCGACGAGCGTAAAGTGCTCAGATGCAAGAAAGAAAAAAAAAAAGGCTTGCGGGTGGTCGATGGGCGCCACGCGGCTGCTGACAACAACCGAGAAGTGCCTCGTGCGAGTTGTCCAAAGACGCCCCCGTTTCGGCTCTAGTGGGAAGGGGGGATGAGACACGACGCGGCTGGGAGGTGACGCAGAAAGAAAGCCGGCTGAAGCTGTCGACGATGACGGGCAGAAGAGATGGAAGACGCGGGAGAAGAAGAGATGGGGAGGGAGAAGAAGGAGAGTGAGTGGTTGAGGGAAGCGAAGAGACGGAGGAGCGACAGGATGGTGGTGAAGCGGCGTGGGCAGCAGGATAAGGTAAGGGACCAGGACGAAAAAAATAAAAACAGGGGACCGATAGCGGTATCGATGTGCTGCTGTTTGTCACTGATACCAGGCGGCAATATTACTGGGCTGGGCTGTGTTAGTGTGCATGTACGGCGCAGCCCGCACAGACGCGGAGGGAGGGAGGGATGGATGGATGGACTGGACTATTTGCCGGAGACCCTGCGAAAGGAAAACGGATGGAAAAAAGGAACAACAAGGAAAAGGCGATGGCGCTGGACGGCGTGCCCCTGGGGAAGGGAGACGGGGCGGGTGGGCTTGTATCGGTACCTGCACCTGCGTGTGTCCCCGTACTGGTACTGTTACTGTACCTGACTGATGCTGCACCGGCGACACATCACATTGGATACACAGTCATTGGCCAAGCCGTCGAACACGCAGAGTGAGATGCCCCGGATTCTGTCCACCGACCCCTACAGATGCTAGTGGTGGGAGCCGTCTGAAAGTACGGAGCAGAGTGGACCTGGAGAGAGGCATCGGCGCCTTGTGAGGTCTGGGGATGCCCCCCTGATGACCCGAGGGCTGGTCATGCCGATTCAGATGTTCTGGTGATGCCCTGGGACGGCACGTAGAAGCATCGACGCAGCGGTTGCCAGCAGGCGAATCCGGTCATTTGGCACGATCCTTTACGAGGAATAAACGAGGCGTTATTTTCCAAACACGCGAAGAGGCGTAAAGCTTTGCATATGTCTCATATTCGCCATTCAACAACAGACAAATCTGTTCTACCTCGGGTACAGTTCTTACGAAAAAAATTCCTCAGCGTGCAGGTACATGTACAAGCAACCAGCAAGTGCAAGCCACAGCAGCCGATCAAATTTGCATCTTCCCTCCCACCCAATTTGATGGGCTGAGATGCAATGCAGTGCCACTTGGAAGTTCCTTTGCAGCCGCTTGAGCGTTTTTAGGTGCGATCTGAAGCGGAGTGCCCGTGAATTGCGGGTCCTCTCCTCTGGTCAGCTCTTCTTTTCTTTCTTTTTTTCCCTCCTTCTTCTTTTTCCTGCATTCTGGACCGGGTTTTTCGGCTGCTGCAGCTGGGATTGGACGATTTTTTCTTGTGTATAGAAGCGTGATTCGCCAGGGATTGGATGTATGCAAATGTAAGAGAGATCCATGGAGATGAATGTACGGTGTGACGGTGCCTGCCAAGAAAAGACAGCTGGACGTTGGGCCTGGCTTGTCTTGGACAGTGCATGCAGAGAGAAGCAAGGTGGGGTTGATTGACGAGAGGTTGAGATGAGGTGATGTTCTATGTAAAAATAGCCTTCTTTCACGAGTAAAGAACCTACAAATACGATGGAAGGCGGCTGCACAAAATGAACCAGAGCCAAGCAAAGACACTGCCCCCTGTGCAGGACAATTGAGAGGCAATGATCGCCGCATATCCCGGATGGATCTGGAATACTACCACACAACCATAGTAGTACATGGAAAAGCAAAAAGGGTGCAGCCACGTTTTGCAGTGGAGTTTGGGACAGCAGGACGTGCATCTGCTGGCGAGGACTTGACGTGACGGCCCAAGATGCAGCCGTGAGATGAGAAACATGGCCGTGGAGTCTTTGCATCCATTTCAGTCACCACGACACGGGCTCACTTACATAGAATTTGCATCCAGTCCATGAACCAGACCAATAAGCAGCATTCCCCTCACAGAACTGTCAGCAAGCACAAAGAAAACTCGGACACCTCATCAACAAACAACTCTCATCTCCTTGTTCCGAGACGACAGCAGCCAGGGAACAGACAAGACAGCAGCACTCCATCATGGCACCAGCGCAGCTCCTCCGCCTGCCCCTTGCATACCGCCTCTTCTTCCTCTTCCTCGAGCCCATCTCCGCCCTCGCCGGCGCCTACTACGCGCACTTCCGCCAGCAGCGCTACCTGCAGCTCCTCCACGGCGCAACCGCACCAGCACGGCTCGTCCCCGTGGGCACCTCCGTGGCAATGTCCCAGCTGGCCAACATGTATTTGTCCTTCGCCATCAACGAGGCGCTCGTGCTGCGCGCAACGCGGGACCTGCGTGTGTGGCGCGCCGTGCTGCTGGTGCTCCTGATTGCGGACCTCGGACACTTGTATTCTATCAAGGAGCTGGGTCCTGCGATCTATTATAATGTCACGGGCTGGAATATTGGTGACCTTGGCAACGTGCCCTGGGCGGGGGTTGGCCTGTGAGGACGGCCGATGGGGACCGAGGAGACTGAGGAGGAGGATGAAGTCGTTGGGCTGCACTGGGGTAGTTGACGAGGCGGCTGAAAAAAACGACAAATAGCGTGCCAGACGCCAAGCGAAGTTTTTCGATAATTTGGACGATCCAGAACTTTCATTCGGCCATCAAGACCCGAGTGACATGCTGCCGGATCTCCAGAATGCCAATCGGGCGTTCTCACGACGTGACGACTTCGGCACTCATTCGGCGTCGCTTCACCCGGAGCCCGCAGGAAACCCACGGGGCGTGCTTAGGTAAGCTCCTATGACCGGTCCGTCGCGCGCTCTCTTTGGTGGAACAATCGGGCAGCCACCGGATCATCTCGACGCCCCGGCGATAGAAGTGGGCTGGAGGTGCCTGCTCGCCTCCGTCTGAGTGGGGGTTTGTGTCTGCAATGATGATGGAGGAAGAGATTCGTTCTCCAGCGCGGAGAGACAGCCCGAGAATTGGCGCGGGTAAAGTCGAGGGAAGCTGCCCCTCATTCTAATGTATGACGATGGTGGGGTAGAGCTGAGGAGCAGAGAAGTGGCAGGCATAACGATGAACCGACGCAACTTATATCGGCCGCTCCTCTCTCCCCCTCATCTGCTCTTGTTTCCGTCTGCTTTTCCTCTGTTTTCTTGTAACCAGCAATACGCCTGTCTTTGTGCCGTCTTGAGGAACCCATCATAGTCTACTCCACAACCAAACCCGAAAGCAAAGAGCTCACCATGGCTGTTCCCGACAAGTTCACCGGCTTCCAGTCCCCCAGCGCCGGCAACTGGCTCGAATTTGAAAAGAACTCGTGGGAGCCCCGGCCTTTCGGCGACTATGATGTCGATATCAAGACGGAATGCTGCGGCGTCTGCGCGAGTGATCGCCACACCATCAGCGGGGACTGGGGTGAATGCCCGTACCCCTTGGCTGTCGGACACGAGGTCGTCGGCAAGGTCATTCGCGTCGGCCCCAAGGTGACGCTGGCCAAGGTCGGCCAGAGGGTTGGCGTGGGCGCGCAGGTGTACTCGTGCCTCGAGTGCCGCCAGTGCAAGAACGAGAACGAGACGTACTGCAAGCAGCAGATTGACGCCTATGGCGCCCCGTACCTCGACACCGGCTACACGACCCAAGGAGGCTACTCATCACACACTCGAATCCACGAGTACTGGTGAGTGAATTGTGTATCTCTTCTTGACGTCCGCAAATTCTGACTTGGTTCATCAGGACATACCCAATCCCCGATGCTCTGGAGAGCGCCGACGTCGCCCCCATGCTGTGCGCTGGCATCACCGTCTACAGCCCTCTGAAGCGCTTCGGCGCCGGCCCGGGCAAAAAGGTTGGCATCGTCGGCATCGGCGGCCTGGGCCACTACGGCATCCTGTTCGGCAAGGCGCTCGGCGCCGAGGTCTGGGCCATCTCTCGCTCCCGAGCCAAGGAGGCAGACGCCCGCAAGATGGGCGCCGACGGCTTCCTGGCCACGTCGGAGAAGGACTGGACCAAGGGCCACGAGATGACGTTTGACCTCATCATCAACACGGCCAACTCGTTTGACGGGTTTGCCTTGGCCGAATACCTGAGCCTGCTCGACGTCCACGGCCGGTGGAACTCGGTCGGTCTTCCCGGAGGCGAGGGCATCTCGATCCGCAACCAGGACTTCCTCGGCAACGGCTGCTTCATCGGCAGCTCACATCTGGGCAGCCGCAAGGAGATGCTGGAGATGCTTGATTTGGCCGCCAAGAAGGGTATTCACTCGTGGGTGGAGAAGATTCCGATCTCGAAGGAGGGTCTGCAGCAGGCGATGAACCGACTGGCGGACTCGAGCGTGCGATATCGATCGTGCATGGTCAACTATGACGAGGCCTTTGGTGCTTGAGAATAAGATTCGACGGCGTGTATGAAGTGTGTATAGAATAAGAATAGAGGAAGACGAGAATCAAGAATAACAGTCACCTTGGGTCGAGATATATCGCTCTCTTGTTAGTCATGCAGATGGTAGAACCTTGATGGACAGCCCATGTCTCCACCTGGAGGTGTCATCAAATGCCCGGATGCGAACAAAGCAGGTTTATTCGCTGATGACCAACAGGATGCATTGCTCCCATTCTCATTCGCCATTGGAGACAATCACCCAAACCAAGCAGAATTGACGCCATGAGAGAAAGGCACCGCCCATGCTAAGATCTTTGTAAGCTCACGTCGGTCTCGGACCCGGCTATCACTCAATCACGCCCTTCACTCAGCAGTTTTAAGCTTAAAACTCGCCCAAACCGCATCTGGCTCGCCGAGCAACATCAGATCACAATCCAATTCGATATTGATCCCTTTCACCCTCTTGCCCGCTGACAAAAAAGGTTGATCCACCAGAGTCAAGATAGTAGCAGTGAGTACTGCAGTTCGCTTACGTATGCCTTCAGATGTGCGCACAGGTGATTAGCAGTTCAGATGCGGTACTTCTGACGCCCAGCTAAATTGCATGCAAGTCTCAAGTCGTATCTTCACGTGTAGCTTCTCATGGGGCTTCAAGGCTTGTTTGGTGACATTGGCTGGGTTGGCTGGAAAACCTTCATGTGCTCAGAGAGATGGAGAGCCTTGATTTGAAAAAAAAAAAAAAAAAAAAAGGGGGGGGAGGGGGTTGTTTGAATCCCGCGTGATAGTAGCATGAAAGCAAGAAAGTACATGGGCCTGGTCGAAGTGGCATGGCGTAGAGAATGTGGTGAAAAAAACAGAATTACCGCTTTAGGCAGTTTTCGGAACCGGCGAGACGGATTAGGAGGGCCGACTTTGTGGGGGGTTTTGACATTTGTCCACCTTCATACGGAGAGGAAAAAGGGTGAGTTGCGATACCGGGATGGAGGGTTGCTATTTGCCTTGAAATGAGTGAATCGTATTGTTCTCCATAATCCCCAAGTCGTAAATGGTTCCAATACTGGATGAGCCTTGGGGGAGTGTACTCTTGAGGAATGAACTATGTGTTGCTGGAGCCGTGCACCCCCGGACTCCGCATGTCTGGATGGGCACACACTCCCCATAATCTAGAACGATTTGCGTATTCGAAGCTCGAATTGGGTAAGTGGAAATTGGAAATCCAGGTTTGAGAAAGGATGGACTGGTTTGACTGAAGGGCGTTTGATATTGTCAGCCGGGGGGACAAGGTTAGAGCGCCGATGGTAGGAGCGGGATGTGACTGTTTTGCCGCTGCCGTTGAGTTGTTTTTGTTTTGTTTAGGTCAAACTTTGGCTTGGGTCTGGGGGGGATACGAATTGGATAAATAGAGAGAGGGCTGCTGCGTTTGCTTGATTCGAGGATGGTTGGGGAGGATGAAGATGTAGACAGACATATATCAATTGGAATCAACTATTACGGCCCTCACATTTGATTAACCACTGCGATTCCATCAAGTCCCTTGAGTCTCGGTATTATTATTGTATAAGTCGTCTGAAGTCTCGCCAACTCATCACACTCCATCAACCCACAACTCACAATGTAAGTCCCATCCTCACACTCACTTACACACACACACATCATAAAACATGACAAACAAACCCCTAACATCACCAACCACAACAACGTTAGGTCCCCCTCTCCTCCTCCCCCCTTCCCCTCCCCCGTCACCCTCACCCTCCGCTTCACCCGCGCCGCATCCCGCTCCGAAATCACCGCCGTCGGCATCTCCCCTTCCCCCTCCTCCTCCTCCTCCCGCACCAACAACAACGGCGCCGGCGCCGCTGCTACTACTACTACTACTCCCTCCCTCGCCTACGCAATCTTCCCCGGCGCCCAGTCCGACCAGCGGCCCTGGATCGACACCTTTGACCTCGTCTCCCGGCGCGGCTACTCCAAGATTGCCGGCCCCGTGGCGAGCTTCTCTCCCACCTTGCATTCTCCGCCTCTCCGCGTCGGAAAGTCTGCCGCTTCGTCAACCTTGCTGTCCTCCTCACCCTCTTCTTCTTCTTCTTCTTCCTCGGCGGCAGCAGAGGCGTTTCCGAGAATCGCCACGCTGTCGTCGTCCACTCAGACCCTCACCGTCCGAGACCTCGCCTCCGCAAAAGCCCTCCTCGAACTCAAACAAGTCTCGGCCCCCATCGCCTGGTCCCCCGACGGCCGCACCATCGCCGCCGCCGAAGCGTCTTCTTCTTCTTCGCAGCAGCACCGCATCGGCACGTGGGACGTCCGCACAGGGCTCCGCACCGGCCGCGTCCCGGGCCACATTGACGCCGTCACGCACGTCTCTTTCCTCGGCTCCGACGCCAACGCCGCCATCGTGACGCTCTCCCGGGACGGGACCGCGCGCGTCACCGATCCCCGGACCAGCAGGACGCTGTACAAGCTCGAGGTCGACAACAACGACGCCGCCGGCGGCGGCTGCCGGATCCCGCGCGCGCTGGGCGTCTCGCCCGACGGCGCGACGGTGGTCTCCGTCTGGGGCACGGCGGTGCACGTCTGGATGCCGAGGCACGGGCGGCTGACGTCGTATCGCCTCGGCGGCACGCGGCCGCCGGCGTGCGAAGGGTGGCCGCTGTGCGTGTCGCCGGACTGCAGGTACATTGCCTGCTGGACGGAGAGCGGGTTCGACGTCATGGATGCGGCGTCGGGGAGCGTCGTGTGTGCGAGGGAGGGCGGGCCGCTGGTCACGGCGGCGGCCTTTTCGGTGGATGGGAGGGTGTTAGTCGTTGGGCGGATTAGTGGCGACGTGGAGGTTTGGGATGTTGTTGATGAGAGGGTGTGATGATGTGATGCCCGGTTTTGGAGGAGTTGGGATGTATGACGGCGGTTTTGTTGCATTTGTCGGTATTTACCTGGGCGTTTGTTTCGTCTTGTAATTGAGTGAGTTGAATAGCCTGTAGCATACGATGAGCAGGTTCAGTTATTGATTGTCTGGTGTAAGCCAACTGAGTTGTATAAGGCGGTATCAGTTAGGTACACAGGAAGAAAGGGGGTCTATGGGAGGCAGGGAAGCATTGCTTGGCCTCTCATTTGGCAGACACATCATTTTTGAATACTACCACGGGGTTCATCGCTCCCAATGACAGCCATTTTCGAGATCCAGCCTGGATATAAAAAGAGTGGTATTATGTATTCAAGCCTTGGTATCATATGTGCTAGCAAATATGCATTGGGGTATTTCTTTCATGTCCGACGTCCTCCTGAATCTACCGGGTTCCAAACTGTCTGTGAGAAATCAACGCGCCAGTGCCATGCCTCATGGAATGCTGCTTTGCGTTTCATCCTTTTCCTCTTTTTTTGCGCCCAGAACAAGAAGTTTCAGTCTCGCCGAACAATGCCGCCTCTTCCAATCCAGCGAACCGTTACATAACATCAACATAGGAAACATCCTTCACGAATCCGCGCCCTGCCCTCCCCACGTCTGAAGGAAAATTGCCGACTGAAGAACATGGCGTTTTCATCCAGCAAGTACCAACCATAATCACGCAACCCAGCCCAGCATCTCCAACGTGCCGCGAGCTTCAGCGGGCGGCAAACTAGCCACGCCCAACTGTCGCACTTGGGTTCCGCGCCTCAGCCGCTGCAGTCCGACCGCGAGCTTCCAGCCCTCGGTTTCCTCCACAATAAAGAGGTACCGCTTGCCTTCTTGGTCGCGCACCGTCGCCCGGAGGACATGCAGGCCCTTGGACTTCCATTCACCAGTCTGCCCGGCCGTTGATGGGATGTTGAGGTTCTTGAACGTGCGATCGCACATGCCATGCCGGCAGCACTCTCTGCACGCATGGAGCATCTCCGCCAGGTACAGGTCAGCCTCATCGCCCGTAAAGGCGTTGGGGCCGTCCCGATCCGACTGGCGACTTCTGCCGGCCATTTTGTGAAGGAAGCCAGAGCTTTTGCCGGTTGCAGATCCAGCTGGTGGTGGCGGAGCAGTCAGACAATGCGGCAGGCACCACACCTCGACAAGCTTGAGCGTCCAGGCCTTGACGTCCCACTCGCGCTGGGGCACGCCGCGGACGTCGTCGTCGATGAAGAGTCCCTCCGTGGTGATTCGAAGAATCAGTCCATCCGTCACCGTGCCAACTCCTGATATGAGCTGACTGGCCGGCGTCTTGGTGAACTGGTTCATGAAGAGGTAAACGGACTGGATCACAATCTTGTCAGGATCATCAGTCGTGTAGTGAGACCGTATCGAGGGCGGCGGGGTGGTTCGTGCTGTTGTCTGCGAGGCTGCCCACGATGCGTCAGAGCCTGTGAGAGAAGACGTCGACTTCCTATGTCTCGGCTTGTTAGGCGACGACTGGTGGTCGTATGGCGGAGGTGGCGGCGGCTGCGGGTGCTGGTGCGGGTGCTGGTGCGGGTGCTGGTGCGGGTGCTGGTGCGGGTGCTGGTGCGGGTGCTGGTGCTGGTGCTGGTGCTGGTGCTGTGGTTTGCTCGGTTGGTCGTAGGGCCTGTAAGAGTACGTGTCCGATTCCACATAGCTGCTGTTGCTACTGACAAACGACTTTGGAGGGGGAGGGGGAGGAACTGATCGTCTCGCCGAGTTGTCTGATATTCTAGAGGCAGACGAGGGGGCCTCGGATGGGGCGGCGGGCGGAGGTGCTCGTTTGGTAGGGCTCTCTCCCCTGTCGAATCGTTCGTGTCTCTCCGATCTTTCTGTTCGCTCTGTTCGGTCACTCCGGTCACTCCGTTCGGACACCTTGGAGGCTGCCGACGAGACCACGGAAGGGGAGGATGTCGAAGGAGACGGAGGGACAGGAGGCCGGCCGTTTGGCCACATGCTTATCTTCTCGCCAACGCTGGAGTACGCATATGTGCTGCCGACTCGGCTCGATCGAAAGTCGGCCGCCTTGGCCTCGGCAGCCGCCTTGGCTTCTGCGGCAGCCTTCGCCTCGGCCTCGGCTCTAGCTTGGACGGCGGCTCTGGCATCCGCAATAATCTTGGCCTCCATCGCGGCTTTGGCCTCAGCAGCTGCCTTGGCCTCAGCTGCAGCTCGGGCTTCGGCGGCTGCCTTGGCTTCAGCCTCTTTCCTTCGTTTCTCCTCCCTTTCTCTAACTTCCCTTTCTCGCCTTTCCCTTTCCCTCGCCTCTCGTTCTCTAGCCTCCCTCAACTTGGCTTCCCTCTCTATTGCTTCTCTTTCTTTGGCCTCCCTCTCCCGCTGTCTGGCCAGTTCCAACTCTTCCTGTTGGCGCCTCCTCTCCGCCTCAACCCTCTCCGCCTCTTCCCTTGCTTTCTGTTCCGCCTCCCTTTGCTGCTTCTCCTTCTCACGTTCCTGTCGCTCCTTTGCCTCCTTGGCTCGCAGTTCAAGGAGCTTCTTTGCTGCCGTTTCGCGGCGCTTCTGCTCTGCCTCTTTCAGCCTCCTCTCCTCTTCCTTCTTTCGCATTTCTTCGCGCGCCTTCTCCCATGTTCCCTTTGGCGTATCGGCCTTCTTCATCTCCGGAGGAGGAGGAGACAGGTTCTTCTCGGGTTCGGGTTCGGTTGGCGGCGGCGGCGGCGTCGGCGGTTTATGACGAGTTTCGATAGGTGCTGGAGGATCTGGCTTGGGAGGTGTTTGCTGCTGCTTCTCTGGACGAGGATCTGGCCGAAAGGGAGGGATTGGTGCCAAGTCTGGCATACGAGGTAGTTTGGATGCTGGCTTCGGCGATGCCGTCTTCTCCGGACTTAGAGACGATCTCCTTTCCAAGTCCGCCATCTTTCCCATCTCAGGCACGCTCTTCTTCCTTTCATGCGAAAGAGGTATCTTTGTGTCTGCTGGAGCAACCGGGTGCTTTTTTTCCGGGGAAGATGGCCGTTTCTTGTCAAGCTCTGGAGGGTTCTTCTCGAGCACTGGCGCCATCTTCTCGAAGCCAAACCGCCTCTGCTCAGCGCTTAAAGGGGACTTGTCCGGCTCCGGGGCCGGCCTCGTCTCTTCTGGCGGCTGTACCTTCTTCTTCTTCTTCTTCGGTTTCTCCGGCTCAGGGACAGACGGCTTTTCCTCCGATGGCGGCGGAGGCTGGCGTGGCCGCTGCTTCTCTGTGTCTACCGGTGACTTGGGGTTCGGAGGTGGCGCGTCCTTTTGATATGACGAGCGCTGGGACGGAGAGGAGGCTGGCTCACTTTCGTGTTTCGGCGGCCGAGGCGCCTCTTCGGGTTGGGCCTCCGCATTCGCATTCCTCCAGGAACCCTGAGACCTATCATGCCGCGGAGGAGGAGGCGCGCCGTTGGTGGAATGACTGTGAGGCGGCGGCGGCGGCGGAGCCCCGTCGGTGTCAGGGCGCCCTCCTGTGTTGGGGCCTCTGAAGCTACCGTGTCCGCCGTTTGCGCCGTGAGGCCCATGTCCATTGCCGAAGCCCCCCGGGCCGGATCCGCGTCTATTACCGTCCGAACTCGCCACAGGCACCGGTCCACCGGTCTGCATCCGTCCCAGGGCCCAGGCACCTATGGCAACCCCCAACAGCAGCGTGGTCATGCCCGTTCCTCCCAGGCCAGCGCCATTGAGCCACATCTTCAGGGCTGGTCCCACGGACTGGAACAAGGCAACGAATATCAGCGCCGAGGCGAAGCCAGCCACGAAGCTGTTGACATTTGGCTGCAGCGATGGCAGGTAAAGAAAGCCGGAGCCAGACGAGTGCTGGGGAATCACGAATATGTCGTAGTTGCCGGGCGGCAAACCCGACGACTTGGGCCCCTCGCCATGCGGCGGAGGCGGAGGCGGCGCGCTCATGCTGTGCGATTGATTCGCTATATCACTGCTCGAAAAGGGTTGGAGGTTGAGGCTGTGCTTGGATATTGGAATGCGGCGAGAATTGCAGTTGGCTCTACGTCTATGAGCGCATCGAGGAAGCCATGGGAATCGTAGGGGAACTATTTCGCGATGAGGGAAAGTAAACGAAGCCTAGCCACAATGTCAGACGCCAGACTCATCACCATCATTCGCCCACACAAGGCTGCCCCCGGTGAAGCAACCGGTCGATTGCGACAGCACTGAGCCTCTCTCAGCCCAGCCATTGGAAAGCGCCGAAAAGGGGCCAAGCAGTAAGATGACGGGAATGAGGATCTCCGCGCGTTCTGGGGATGCAACTAACCAAGGCAACAAACACCACAAGAGAAACCAAACGCCGGGCTCCAGATCAAACAAACACGCCGCAACAGCCGTCCGTTGGACACACTCTCTCTCGCGCGCTCTCTCTCTCTCTCCAGCTAGGCAAGGACAGAACCGAATCGTCGCGTGTGCTCGAGTAGCAGGCGTGGCCTCGACATGGGGCAGATGGAGAGATGAATTTGAAGGTTTTTTTATTTTCTTCCTTGGCGGCTAGGAGAAGAGAGGAAGTGGGGGTGGATGAAATGAAGACGGACCTGGACAAGCAGAGGGAAGACCAGCCTGGCGGATTTTTGTTTACCTTGCAGCCTGGCCACCATCGCCAACCCACTGCGAACCTGGCCAGAGATAGGCAGCCCAGCACACCAGACAAGAGTCGAGGGCTGCGGATGGCCGTCAATTGGATGGACCCCTGGCGGTGGAAAAGACAGCGGCTGGGAAGAGGGGCCTGTGGGCTGGCACCTCGATTGCGGCGGCGCTGTGGTTGGCTGCGCTGGGCGTTAGTGGCTGGACGGGCCGTTGGAAACGTCACAGAGGGGCCGCTAGGGGCCTGGAGGGGGCCTGGAGGGGGGCCTGGAGGGGGCCTGGAGGGCGTCCAGCTGCTGCTGCGAGGTGCGCTGCAGCGCCTAAACGAGGGAGGCTAGCCTCGAGTACGAGTACACACTACTCGACAATCCAACGGAACCTCAACTCGATCGTGATCAAGGATGCTGTCAACAATTGCCGGGATAGAGAGCTTCAACGACGCGGGATGCTCCAAGCGACGCCAAGTGCGAAACCGGTCAGCAGCGATATAGTACTGTACGGATAAAACAACGTGTCACTATGCGCCGTCCAATCCTACGCGCAGCATCCACATCTTCGCGATTTCTTCACGAGCCTGCATCGTCGTCCTGTTGACTGCCATCATTCGGCATCCACCAGCAAACGCCCCTCTTCCCAGCCATTCACTCCATGTGCCCGCTTCAACCTGCTTCTGCACCTTCGCTCATTCTCCGCCAGATACTACAGAAATCCCACGCGTCCCGACACAATCTGTCCATTCACAAAGCCCAATTCCCCTTCGCGAGGTCTTTCCTCGGGGCCATTTGCACCCAAAGAAACACACCCCCCGGCTCACCACTTTCGCATCAGGAACTTGTCTCCTTCCAATCGCGACCTACTCGCTACCGCCAAGGGCCTGTCGTTTTCCCATCTGCAAGCTCTGTGTTCGTCGAGAGGCCACAGGCACTGCGCTCCACTGATATTAAGCCCACCCCCCCGTTTGACCGGACGAATCGAGGAGAGCTTTTGGCGTTGTGTTTTGAAGCAAATGTGGTTGATTGCTTGTGACGTGACAAAGAGATGCCCCATCATCGTGATGCAGAGAATATGCACCTGCCACCCGCTTTTTTCTGCTCGAGTCGACGCTGGGCCAATGCTTGCAGACACGCAGCCGAACCGAAGTGCATGCAGAAAAAGCCTGGACTTGGACAGCATGTCACTGGCGGAAGATAGCGGGCGGGCCAGGTTTCGGAAAACAGAACCTGGGACAAAACTCCAAGGAAGAAGAGCAATATGTTGCCGGGCAACTGCTGTGCCAGGATCAACTTGTCCTTGTCTTTGCCACTCTCTCCAATGTTCGATGGGATAAGTGGTGACGTTTGCTAGCCAAGGCCAAGGCAGACGCCGCAACCGCTAGCGCGACAAGATTCGTCTGGACTCTGGATGGCAACGCTGTGCAGCCTGTCCTTTTTTTTCGCAGCTTAGGTATCTTCTCACATGTTCTAAAAGCTCGGGTACCGGCTTGACAACGTTGCAAAGGGTTTCTTCAGACGCCGCCCCGGTAGTTGAATGGATGATTCGTCCTTCATCCGCGGACTTGGCCGCAAATAGATACGATAGCATCACAGCGCCCAGCACATCTTGACCACGGAAAACCCAACGAATGACGGCACGAGGTCTTACGAGATGAGAATCCCTGCGTGGCGGTGTGATGGTTCACGTGCACCCCGGATGGGAAACCAGCCACGCCGTGACAGTGACAGTGACAGTTGACCAGGACTGGGATTGATCGAGGTGGCTTTTTTCTGTGACAAGTTCCGACTGTGTGCGTGTGTATGTGTCGGGACTCGACAAGACGGTCTGGCAGGAGAGAACATGCGTATTCGTATCGGGGCTTGCTGGTTTCAGTACTTGGGAGATCTCGACACATGGGCACCACAACAGCAACAATAACAACAGGTGATTGTAATTAAAAATAAAAATAAGGTAGAATAGAGAGGATTCGTGATGTCACTGTCTATGTAACGGACGTGCCTAGAGATAACGGAATTGCTGAGATATATGAAATGTATCGTTACAGCTGATATCATAGCGATTGAACGTCCTGACCTCTTATCCCAGTCCCAAACAAAGGGGGAAAAAAACGTGTGTTGCGCCTCAAAACCCCAATCCCTCGAAAAGAATTGAGAGCCAGAAAGAAAGAAAAAAGAGCAAATGAAATACATGATGCATAATGGTGAATCCTCTTTCCCAACGTTTCCGCTTGCTCGCTCAACCAACATCGCCCATCTGTCCCGGAATTAAAAAGCAAAATAAACTTTGAAAGGAGGTGTATGCCCAGAACAACTGTTTTTACGAAACAAGAATCACAATCACAAACTCCCATGCCCAGACCAATCCGTCCACAACCGTCTGCAAAACCCAAAGCCAGTAAGCCAAGACCCTCATCGCCAGCAGCATTGCCTTGAGCGGCGCCACGACAGCAGTCATGAGTCACATCTTCTTAATCCGCCGGTTGGCGACCCGGACTTTGCCTTCGACCCGGTCGACGTCCTCGTCGAGGGAGTCGAGGAGCTCCGTCTGCCGCTCCACCTCTTCGTTGATCTGGATGCCCAGCTCCTTCTGGCGCCGTATGATGGCGGCCAGCTGGTCGATTGCCTGGTCTTGGGACTGCATCTCCTGTTTCTGCAATAGCAGCACGCCCTGGTTGTCGAGTTCTCTCGTCCGATCCGTCTCGGGCAACGGGGCGCCCAGTACTCGTCCCGATGTTGTAGGCTTGTGTGAGCCCAGTAGGTTCGATCTGTTGGAAGAAGAGGCCTGTACCTGCCCCGTGCCCCCTCGGCTGGTGGCCGCCGCCGACCCGGGCATGCTGCTGGCGAGCTTGTCGAGGCCGTCCCGCTCCATCCTGGCCGCCGAGACGAGGTCCCGCCTGCGCCGTATCTCGCCCTCGCCGAGCCTGCCGGCCTCCTGCATCTTGCGCAGGCCGTCGGAGAGGCTGTTGACCAGCCCGGAGGCCTTGACCAGGACCCTCTTGGCCGCGGCCGCGGCCTCGGCCGCCGCCCCGAAGTTGCCGCTGTCGGCGGCGCCGTCTCGTCTCGAAAGGCATTGTCGCGCTTCATGCAAACACTGTTTGACTTCCCTGTGAACATCGAGCCACGCTCCCGGGTCCGTCACGCCGGACGCTGTGCCAACCATACCTGCCGCCGACACCGTAGAGTTGCTCGTGCTCGAGCTCGGGAGGTTCAGAAAGGTCCTCCACGCCGACGTGTCGCGCCACCGGCGGTCCGGCGACTCCGCGATCGCGCGGAGGTACTTCTCGAGGCCCAGCTGCCGCTCGCGCGTCAGGTCCGGCGAGTTGATGGTCGACCGGAGCCAGTGCTTGCCCGGCAGCGGCAGCGGCGGCGGAGCGCCTACCTGGGCGACCAAGGCGTTGTGCAGGGCGTCGAACTCGGAGTATCGCTTCTGGACGATGAAGGAGCGCAGCGGCAAGCGGAGGCTGATGTTGTAGAGGGTGTATGGCTTCGACGAGCCTTCGTCGGAGACGCTCGTCGAGGGTATCGCGATCTCGGGCGGTGGCGCCATGGCGGGTCTCTGTCTGAGAGGAAACTGTGAGGTCGTCGTTCGTGCTGGTTTTGCTCCTATGCGAAGTCGAGGGCGATGTTTCTTCCGAGAATCGACACACAAGGTATATCTATATTTCTTTTCCCAAAATCAAAGCGTCAGGCACCTCTGAGGCTTCCGGTGGCGTCGATGTCTCTTTCGTCCTGAACCTCGATGACGATGCAGGTGTCAGTTGGAAGCAAGGAGGCTGACCGATGGACGTGCGCATTACGGCTTGAAAGATGGAAGCACAGCAGCGCATTGCAGCACAAAGCGTCAGTGACCTTGAAATGCCCAACCGCACGGGTACAAGAACTGGGTCCCGTCTGCTCTGGTCCTCTTTCGGGGGGGAGTCTCAGTGGACCCAGCCCGGCTTTTAGTGGCCGCCCAGCTGATGGCCTCCCCCGTATTACCGCTGAGTCTGTCTCTGTTCAGGGCGACAAGCGCTAAGGAGGTGGATACGGCACGGACCCCTGCCCCAAAGTAGAGTTTGGCAGCCCAGCCTTGGGAGAAGACCTCGGGGAGCTTAAAATTGTTGGCCTCTGGTGGCTGTCCGAGTACGAGGTTGGCGGGAGATGCAGACGAGTACGATCGAGGCTCTGGTTCTTTGATATCACACCACGATGGAGAATAAAGCGAGGATTACAATATCACCAATACAGCAGCAGGCTGGTTATTACAGACGTTGAAGTATAAAGTGCGTGGAACCCAATAGCCCAAAGGCCTAGGCATCCTTCGGGACAAGGGCGACAGCATCGCTGGAATGCGACTGGATGTCGGGCCATCAATGTCCACGTGCAGCTTCACGGCTCTCAGGGGACAGAGGCGGTATGCCATGTAGGTACCATCCAGTATGTAGATAGGTACATGTATTGTGTGCGCTCAGGCTGCACGTTGCATCAAGTCTGGTGCCTGACCTGACTTGACCTGACCTGTGCATCGTGTCGCGTGCGTCTCCGCAGACCACATGCAGTCCTCCAGAAGGGCGGAGCGCTGAACAGAAGAGAGCCTTGAGTTGAGAAATCTTGTTTTGTCGTCAGAGAAGGCTGTGGAGACAAGACGTCGTTTCGATGGTCTTCCGTGCACCCTTGACCGCTTGTAGAACTTGGTATCTGTGCTCCGCTCTTCGTGAACAAGGGGGCATCAGAGCTCGAGTCTGATACTAGCAGTGCGTAGCTTGCGCTTTGGCTTTGGATTAACCAACAACAATGCGCGTCTCCAAAACACACAAAGAGGTATTAATAGTCGTATTGTCCAAACAGTCGCGGTGCTAGTTTGCTCTATAGGATCTCCCTAAGTCCTCTAACAAAAAGAAAAGATGCGAATGGCAGCACCCATGAATGCTTCCGTCATGCAATGAATGGCCATACATGTATGCCTGGAACCAACACCTTCGAAACGCGCCCCCATCCCATCCCCGTCTCCCTCCCCTTCTCCGCATCCTTCTTCCTCTCCCCCCTTTTCACGTGATCAATCTCCAATCTCCAGCAGCTTCAGCTTAGAAGGTCTCTTGGTCGTCCAGACCCTCAGCCTCAGCCGGGATCTCAAAGCCTTCCTCCGTCGAGTACAGGATGGTCTGGATGTGCTTGACCAGCCCGTCCTCCTGCTTCTCCAGCTCGGGATCCTCCTCCACGGCCTGCTGAATCAGCAGCTCAATGTCGCGCAGCTTGCTGAAGTAGAAATCTCGCTCGCGCTCCAGGCCGCTAACAGTCTCCTTAAGAGTCCCAATCTCTGCCTGCAAGGCAGCGGTGCCGGGACCCGGCGCTGCCTTGGCGAGGCGAGGGCCGGTGCTGGGCGTCGTGCCGCCGCCGGCTCGTCGGGCGCCGGCGCTCGAGATAGCAGCCCTGGGCGCTCCAGTGTTGGCCGGCGCCACCGCGGCACCTTTCCGTCGCGCAACCGCGTCGTAGTCGTGGTCGGGGAAGTTGAGGTCCCAAAACTTCTTCGTCCATTGCAGGAATTCCAGGTTATCCTGCATCTTGCACTTCACCAGCTGCTCGACGGGGATGGGCTTATCGACCTGGTGCTTGAGGAAGGTGTCTATGTGGGCCGTTAGGACCTGGTCTGCGCAAAAAAAGGGGGCAGCCCATCCAGGGGGGGCGAAGCCTCTGGGCGAGGGCACACGTACTCTGCAGAATCTTGAAGTTTTGGATGTAGGCATAGTCACCGCTGACGTTGAACTTGACCTTGGACATGGGCACGTCGAGGAATATGCTGTCAAACACCTGACAGAGCGCGGCGCTGAAATGAGAGGACAAGCTCTTGTGTCAGCGCTTTTGTTTATATCGTAGCGGGGTTCGTTCGCCAGGCGGGGTGCCCGAGGAATAACACTCACCCAGTGCCGCACTGCTCGACCTTGGTCAAGTTCAGCTGAAGGAGGCTGTTCAGCCAGTTGAGAAGCTCTTGTCTGTCGTCTGGACGTTAGCCAACAGTCCGTCTCGGGTCCTGGGAGCGTCGGCGTCGAGGGAGGGAGGCGGGAAGGCGTACCTGGATTCACCCATTGTGTCAAAGCTATGATGCAGATAGAAGGTGAGGGCAGGCGGTCGAATCACGCTCGCTGAGAAGATGCAAGTGTCAAATGAGGGAAAGAAAGAGAAGGGCAAAGTGCAGATGCCGGGTATCGCGATGGGAAAAGGGACTGCAGAGCCGACGTCGTGGCGCAGGGCAGCGAAATGAGGATGACAGGAGAAATTTATTCAGCTATTCGTTCGCGTGTTGGAACTGTCAAGGTCGTCCAGAGGCCTGTATTTGGCCAGCGTCGGCCAATCAACGGTGGCGGGGTCGCTGGGAGACGCTGCCAGGGAGAGCTAGCCGCTAATCCGCCGCTGTCTTGGCCTCACCGCCAAAATTTTCAAAAAGCGGCAGAAAAAAAAAAGAAAAAGAAGCTGCTTTGGATCTTTGATTGCGGCCCCGCTAGCAGTGAGCAGGCTTTTGTATGCATTTGACGCTGCAAAGAGGTGTTTTTACTCCAAGATGGCGCCCTCACAGAAGAGATCAATTGAAGACGACTTTGTCCATACTCTCTCGGACAACGATGACGACGCGCTGAAGGAGGAGGAAGTCGTCATTGAGCCACCCAAGAAGAAGGCCAAGACGAACAAGAAGTCGGGCAAGAAGAACAAGGATGAGGAGCCTCAGCCGGAAGAAGTCGAGGGCGTGTGGGGAGACAAGGGCGAGGATGACGGCGCCATGGACTCTGACTTCGAGTTCATGCTAGACGACGCTGGCGATCTCGGCGAGGACGAATTCGAGGGATGGGGATTCGAAGGCGCAAAGAAGGGCATGGCCGTCGAGAAGGCCGGCGTCGACCTGGACGAGATTATCCGAAGACGGAGAGAGAAGAAGAACAAGAAGGACGACAAGGAGGCCGAGGACGCTGAGGAAGATGGCGCTTCCGTCGACGGCGGAGCAGACATTGACATGGACGACGACGAGGATGGCGTGTTGGCAGACGACGCCTTTGGCATGAACGTGGACCCAGACGCCGAGGAGTCTGCGGACGAGGTCGACGCCAACAGCGACAAAGACGATGAAGACAAAGACGAGGACGAAGATGACGACGCCGCTTCGGATAACGATTCGGTAGCTACGCCGGTCAACCACCCCGACGATATGTCTGACGATGACGACGACGAGGAAGACGCCGAGGAGAAGGCCAAGCGCGATGCCTTCTTTGCGCCCGAAGAAAAACCAAAGCCCGGGCAGAAGGTGGACGTTTCGTCTTTCCAGGCCATGTCTCTGTCGCGACCAATCCTGCGCGGTATCACCACTGTCGGCTTCACAAAACCGACCCCCATTCAGGCCAAGACGATCCCTATCGCTCTTATGGGCAAGGATGTTGTTGGTGGTGCAGTTACGGGTTCAGGTAAAACAGCAGCCTTTGTGCTTCCCATCCTGGAGCGACTCCTGTATCGACCCAAGAAGATTCCCACCACTCGCGTCGTCATCCTTACTCCCACCCGTGAGTTGGCCATTCAGTGTCATGCTGTGGCTACGAAGCTGGCGGCGCATACAGACATCAAGTTCACGTTGGCTGTTGGAGGTCTTAGCTTGAAGGCTCAAGAGGTGGAACTGCGTTTGAGACCGGACGTCATTATTGCCACGCCTGGACGATTCATCGATCACATGCGAAACTCGGCCAGTTTCTCCGTCGACACGGTCGAGATCCTGGTGCTTGACGAAGCTGATCGAATGCTTGAGGATGGATTTGCCGATGAACTGAACGAAATTCTCACTACCCTGCCCAAATCACGCCAAACCATGCTCTTCTCCGCTACCATGACTTCGACCGTCGACCGTCTTATCAAAGTCGGACTCAACAAGCCCGTCAGGGTCATGGTGGACTCTCAAAAGAAGACTGCAGGCACACTTATTCAGGAATTTGTTCGACTTCGTCCCGGTCGCGAGGAAAAGCGGATGGGTTACTTGGTCCATATCTGCAAGAACCTCTACACAGAAAGGGTCATCATCTTCTTCCGCCAAAAGAAGGACGCCCATAGGGCTCGAATCATCTTTGGCCTCTTGGGCTTCTCCTGCGCGGAGCTTCACGGTAGCATGAACCAGACACAGGTAAGCAACGTCATCAGGCTCTAATCTGGTACCTCGCTAACATTGTCGTTCAACAGCGTATTTCCAGTGTCGAATCATTCCGAGACGGCAAGGTGAATTATCTGCTGGCAACAGACTTGGCCTCTCGTGGTCTTGATATCAAGGGCGTCGATACTGTCATCAACTACGAGGCTCCCCAGTCCGTGGAGATTTACGTGCACAGAGTCGGTCGAACGGCCCGTGCCGGACGTCACGGTGTGTCGGTCACGCTCGCTGCCGAGCCCGACCGCAAAGTCGTTAAGGCGGCCGTCAAGGCCGGCAAGGCGCAGGGATCCAAGATCATCAGCCGCGTCATCGAGGCCAAGGACGCCGACAAATGGCAGGCTGAGATTGACGCTATGGATGATGAAATCGAAGAGATTGAGAGGGAGGAGAAGGAGGAGCGACAGCTTGCTCAGGTGGAGATGCAGATCAGGAAGGGCGAGAACATCATTCAGCACGAGGCCGAGATCAAGTCAAGGCCAAAGCGAACATGGTTCGAGACGCAGCAGGACAAGAAGAACGCCAAGCAGGCCGGGAGAGAGGAGCTGAACGGGCCACAAGCCGGAAAGAAGAAGGCTGGCACCACGAAGCTGAGTAACAAGGACAAGAAGAAGCTCGACGCAAAGGCACAACGGGCGGAGGGCATGGGCTGGAAGAAGGGCAAGAATGACGCAGCCAACGCTGTGGCAAAGAGCAAAAAGAAGGCACCTGTCAAAGGCAAGACACCTGTCAAGAGTAAGGCACCTGTCAAGGACAAGGCGCCTGTCAATGGTAAGGCAAAGGTGCCTGGGAAGAAGTTCAAGGGGAAGAGGTGAGCAGGTGAATAGAGCCGGTTGATAGATGGGGAGCCAGTTGATCTGTAGATAGACGTAATTTGTGCGAGTCTTGGTCAATAGAACCTGTTATTCTGTACACACTGATGGCTGAAGCTCCCCCTTTTCATCCGGGTTTCTCGGTAGTCGCATTCCTTCAAGACTCGTTACCCCGTACTCGATCCGTCGGCAGATGCTGCGGTTTTGGCGCGTGCCGTCGTGATGACATAATGCGACTTAGCTCGCTCATATCCTCATACTACCTTTTTGCAGGCTTGACTCTGTCATGAACCAAAAAGCACGATCACGCGCCCGGCTCGACATCCTCTGGCTACTTGCAGCAAATGGCATGAACCGCGAACTGCAGCACCGCGCATGTCAGGCGCCCGCCGCATGTGGTAAATCCGGGTAGCAGACGGACAGCTGTCAGGAGACTAGGCGGCAGTCAGGCTGAACGACGGCACTTCAGAGCTTCGGCCTTGTCTGCGCCTTGCCCAACTGGCTCTGGCTTTGCGGCGCGACAACGTCGACATAAACATATATATCCTTCAAGGAGGCCTCGTATCAGGCAGGCCTTGCCCTTTCTGATTAGTCACTGCAAAATCCTTGTACCGGAGCAAAGCTGGCTCCTTTCAAGTTATCGTTCAGGATACCGTTCAGCCTCGGACGAACCCGCACGCAGCGCCGCCAGAGCTTCGATCTTGCCCGATACCTGCTTCCATCCGCCGTCCGAGATCGCTACCGCGAGCGACTGTTCAATTTCCGCCTCAACACTCTTCCGAAGCTCAAGCATCGCATACAGAGCCGCATCTATCGCTACATCCTCGGCCGGCAGAGCAAGCGACGGGTCGTTGACCTTGCCGCTCGGCAGAGCCAACGGCTGCTGCAGGGACACTCGGGACGGCGGCCGGCCAAGCATGTGACGGGGCGACCCACGACGACATCACCGCCTAGACAACTCAAGACCAAGATGTCACGACCGGGGGAGATGGGCTATGCGCCGCGGAGCGACGATGGTGCCGAGAGGGGCGAGAGAGGCTATCGGCGGAAGAAGCTCGCTGCCATGGCCGGAGCTATGGCTGGAAACATCTATCGGACGGGACAGCTCGCCGTCACGGAGCTCAGGGAGACGTATGCCCAGTCCAAGGCGAGGGGCTTGGACGGCGATTTCGAATCGCCCGCCAGCATGCACATTCCCGGCGCGTTTCCAGACGTGGCCGTGACGGCGCAAGGCAGCGGCGAGCAGCTGATCATATTTCCGAGCTATGCGAAGCAACACAACAAAAGGGAACGGGGGCAACCCTCTGCATACGCGTCGGAAGCCGGCAACCTGCAGGACGAGGACTACTGGCGCTCGGAGTGGGAGAGGCACCAGGACGAGAGGGCGATTGTGGATGTCGACGTTCGAGGCTGGCTATACTATCCACATACCGGTCCCATCACGCGGCGGAATCGCATCTTGATCGGCCTTGCGCGCCAGCTCAGTGGTATCCCCGTCCCAAGAGCGGAACAAGCCCAAGCTCAGGCGACTGCGCCTCTGAATCCGAACGAGGAACAACGAGAACAGGAGAAGATTGCGCAAGAAGCCGCCATGATTGAGCGCAGGGGTCGGGAGGAGAAGCGCATAGCCAACAGTGGCGCCTACAGCGAACAGCCGCGCGAAGATACGGGCCTCGGAGGATCTGCGTACCCTCTACCTCGGCCGCCGCCTCCTCGCGTAGATAGTCGAACGTCCGACTCGCTTTCAGGGAGTCCCAAGCCTCCTCCGAGCAGACAGAACTCGTCGCTGGCCAACGAGCTCACAGAAGGCGAGCTGGTCTCGGCAAATGCCAACCTGATGGCCAGGATAGCACCATTCATGACCAATCCGCTGGTTGCTCACCCCATCACTATTTTCTTCTACAACGACACAAAGTCGCAGTCTCGAAACGTGCTCACAGACGATTCCGGCCACTTTGCCGTTCGCGCGCCCTTGGATTTCGTTCCTGCACACGTCAGGGTGCTCGTAAAAGAAGGTCTATCGACGACTCAAGAGGTCAAATACATCGAGCCATATGGCGTCAGCCTCATCAGCGACATTGACGACACCGTCAAGACGTCCAACATCTCAGCAGGCGCCAGGGAAATCTTCAGAAACACCTTTGTGCGAGAGCTGGGCGACCTCACGATCGAGGGAGTCAAAGAATGGTACGGCAAGATGCACGCACTTGGTGTGAGCGTGCACTACTGCTCCAACAGCCCGTGGCAGCTGTACCCCATGCTGGCCACCTTTTTCAGGATTTCCGGGCTCCCCGTCGTGTCTCTACATCTGAAGCAGTACTCGGGCATGCTCCAGGGCATCTTTGAGCCTGTGGCAGAGCGAAAGAAGAACACGCTTGTCCGCCTGCTCCGAGATTTCCCACAGCGCAAGTTCCTCCTTGTTGGAGACAGCGGAGAAGCCGATTTGGAGGTGTATACGGAGCTGGCGCTGGCATATCCCGGACGGGTCCTCGCCGTCTTCATTCGCGATGTGACAACGCCCGAAGCAGCAGCCGCCTACTTTGAGCCATCCTTTGACATGACTCGACGGACATTGTCTGGCTTGAACCTCAACAACAGCGGCCCTGCGAACAGTCGGCCTGCGGTGCGACAAAACTCGGCGCCAGGACAAGCCAGCAATGCAAAGCCTCCTGCCGGCCCCGTGATGGGCACCCTGATTGACTTTTCCGACGAGCCTGAAGAGGCGAAGCTGGATGAAGCTGCCGCTCTGGAGCAGGTCAGAAAGTCGAGGCCAGGTCCATCGCTCAGTGCGACAGAATTGCTCGCTCGCAAACCCCCGCCCCCTCCTCGTCCGGCGAAGCCAGCTGCTCTAGCCAGCAGTCCCGCTTTACCAACTGCCAGGAAGCCATCAGTAGGCCTTGGGATATCAGGGGCTGGTGCGAATAGCGGCTCCGAGCCACCGCCGGTGCCAGCAAGGAAGCCCGTCGGCAGCAACACGAACCAGCCGGTCCATCCACTGGCGCAGATACAGAACTCGTCCCAGCAAACCATCGAGCCACCTAAACCGCCCGCCAAAGACGATCCCAAGGCCGACAAACCCCCTCCTCCTCCTCCCCCACCTCGTCGGAGCACCAAGAACCTCAGCCCGCGAATGCTGTCCCGCGCTTAACGAAACCTAAGGAAAACGAGAACCAACACACAAAAGAGAGCGTACGGAATGAGTAAAACGCATAGGAAGAGAACTGATCGTTTATACCGAGGAACTGGTTAAATGCTCCACAACAATGCTAATTAAACTCTTTTCCTCATACATACAGTATATAATATAACCAGAGACATTACATACAAGGTACATATTCACATGTTGCGAGAGGAAGCGAGTGGTTGGGAGTGGTTAAGATAGGCTGTACATACTAAAGATTGGTGCCGTGTTTAGTTCTATACGTTTAGCTTGGATCCTTATGTTCAGATAGCATAGTTTTTCGTGGGTTTGGTTGGGTACGGTGTGGGTCTTTGGTGTTTGTTCGTTTACTTTTCGTTCCATATGTTGTGTTGGTGTTGAGGGTAGAGAGTGGGGGGAAGATGGGCGGGGAGGCGTAGAGTCGCTCTATGGCGAAGTGCTAGGGGTGTCGGAGGAGGAGCTGTAGGACGGGGGACGCGGTGCATATGTCGAAGTGCGGGACGACTAGCTCGACGAGTACGCGGGAGACGTCGGAGAAGGCGGTGTCTAGCTCGAAGAACAAGTGCCGCGGCTCCCACCCGCTACGGCTGCCGCTCCACAACGGGCTGGACGATAACCCTGCCATTTTGCTGTCCCGACCTCGACGCCCGCGCCCGCGCCCCAACTCACTACCCCCCTCTCCAAGTTTCAGGTGCAGGCTCAACCTGCTCCCCGGCGCAGGCACCCTGTCGTAC